AATCTCAAAATAGGGTGGGGAAGGGGAGGCAAAGTGCAAAAGGTAAATACACTACAAGAACCCCCCCCCCCTCCAAATACCCACCGATATAAATTCATCATCATCATTATCATGTTATTACAACCATCGTCATCATCATTATCATAACATTCTCCCAGGATAATTATCCAGAGATGAATGCTTCTGTGAAACGCATGGTTGTTTGAAAATACTTGTAGTGTATTTACCTTTTGCACTTTGCCTCCCCTTCCCCACCCTATTTCGTGCACCTGTCACACCATTTTCAGAGAGTGAGGTGGTATATTCATATCTTGTTGGTATCCTGTGATGGTTGAATGTATTTGATGATAAATATCCACGGAACACGTTTATGTCAAAGAAAGTACTTGGTTGCTGAAAATGCTTTGCTCTCTCACAAATATCTTCATTTTCCACTTCGGCTTAACAAACTTCTTTCTTTTTTTTTTCTTTTTTTAAATAACGGTAGGCCCTTTGCCTTGACTGAAATCGCTATGAGTGAATTTTCCCCGTGTACAGGATATTAATGATATTTTTGTACACGACAAACAGGAGAGTAGTCCGTGTATACGTCACATTCAACTGATCAAAGATCGAGCCAGTTTGAGATTCGCACAAATATTATAGCGATCTCATATTTCAAACACTTCAAATAAACTCCCTTAGTATTGGTCGGAATTATTTCAAAATTTCTGTTTGCATACAAATTAGGTAATTATAAAGGATGGATCGTCCTCTATATATAACGTGATAAAACAGTCAGAAAAGGAATGCGTAAAACTACTCGGGGAAAGAGAAAGTCAGTATGGAAATAAACAACGGTTTCTTGTTGGTATATAGTATTTATTAAGTTGTATGAAGGATTGCCACGCCTTAAGCTAACTTTATGTGCCAATCGTTCTTCATAATTATTTTATGTTAATAATACAATGTAAGTACTTTATGTTGATGATGTATTACTTATATGTTTGTTTATTATAATGATTTTGTTGTAATTAGTTTGTAATTTTGGAAAAAGACTTGAAGGGAAATAAATGAATCCACTCAAATGAAATCAAATCATTGTACAAATGCATCCTTTTGCTTTAAGTCTAACCGAAGGAAGACTGACGATTAATCAATTAATAAGAAGTGATGCTCAGTTCAATTTCCCAATTCAGAGTAAAATGAGATAAAATATAATTTCTTTTCGAGCAGAAACAGAACGCAGAAAAAATTTCTTCCCACAAATTTCAAAAGACTTTCTACTGATCAATTTAACGTTTTTTCCCTAGAATTCACTTACATTTCGTTACATGATTCAGCAAAATAATGCACATGGTTTTAACAAACTGCATGCAAGATAAATATCCCTCGTACAAAGGATATACCGGGTTCCATTGGTCAACAAAACAAACAAAATATTGGGAAAATCCCCACATTAGCTGTTTGGTTTTACATCCCTCACAAGCATGGGGTGATATAGAGTCGGGTTGGGGTGGGCGGTTAAACCAGTCCACTTCATTTCAAAATTTCAAATAGGGGTAATTAGAATATTAAATTGATATCATTGAATATAGTTTTACTAATAGGCCTAATTAGGAATTAAAAGGTGTTTATTCAACCCTTGTGCATGAATCACCGCGTGTACATTCTCACTACTGCCCCTCCCCCGTCCCTCTCTCTCTCTATCTCTCTCTCTTTCTCTCTTTCTTTCTCTCTTCCTATCTCTCCATCTCTCTCTGTTTCTACCCTTTCTCTCTCTCTTTCTATCTCCTCCTTTTCTCTCTTCCACCTCTCCTTTTCTTTGCCCAAAATAAAATCTCCTCTACATTATCTTTATTCAATACATACTGGCCGGCTTTGATATGATTATTGCTGTTCTGATGTTTGGTTTGGTTTGCTCTTTACTTTTCAACATTATTCACGGGAGAGATGCCTCCTTTTTATATTTTACCTTAATACACTCATGTCCATGATATAAATAGGCCTTGCTTTCCGGAAAGAAATCAAGAGCCTGCGATTCTGAAACCCTTGTAAACAACCGACTTCTCGTTAGCCTGTTATTGAGTTAGCAAGAGATTTCAATCTCCTCGAAAGTGTATCCTGTTAATGTGTCCGGTATAGGGTTGCAACTTCAGAAGAAAAGAAAAGTACGAATGCTGTGGTTTACCATGGAATCACATTGTTTAATCATGGACTCTAGGTTCATGGTTGCATTAACTCAAATCATTTCAACCCACTGTACTTTTAAAATCACCACTTCTAAAAATCAATGAAAAATTGAAAACGAAAGCGGTGGGATCATAAAAAGCAAAAAAAAAAAAAAAAAAAATCGGCATACGTTGCCTCACTGCGCGAAAAAAAGTATCGGAGATAATCGTGTTTCAAGTATCAAGTATCAAGTATCAAGTATCAAGTTTATTTGTCTTCCAGAAAACACATGTGACAAAATATAATAGAGTGTAATCATAACAGTACAATGTGTTTAAAGATTTTGCCCGTTTAAAATGCTAATTTGAATACCGTATTTACATTCAATCAAATGGAATTACATTATGATAAGAGTTGAATATTATCTTCCATATGCACTCAATATTACAGAAAGAAATGAAATATTGTTGGTGTTATTCATGAAAATGTTAAGATTTGTGAGGTCGTAGTGCGAAAAATTACATCTTATAAAGAGGGGAACACCAATCCCGATGGTGTTATATGCAAACTCTCATAACGGAAGAATGAAAAGGTCTTTGATAACTAACATAATTAGATCATCTAATGCAACCACACATAGCGAGCGAGCTTTGGAGGAAATTGCTCTTAGTCGCTTGAAATTGGGATATTTATCGAAAGAGATAAGACATTGAAAGAAAAGGAGCACGTGTCAAAGTACAAAGGGTAATTATCAGATGTGAAAATGAGGCACTTTTTACACCTACAAAAAGGGGCACTCACCAGGGACGAAAAAGGGCACGTATGAGAATGGGAAATTGGCATTTTGTCGACGGAAAAGCGGCACCCATCAGATTTTGATAGGGGCATTTATAAGAGGTGAAAAGAGGCATTTATGAAAAGGGAATAGGCCTATTATTAGAAGGGAAAAGGTGCATGTATCATTGTTAAAAGGTAAATTATTTGAGGTGGAATGGGGCACTGGCTAGAAATGAAAAAGGGGGCACTTATGACCATGAAAAAGGGGCACTTATCAAAAAAGGAAAATGTGCATTAGTTGAAAGAAAAGAATAAGATAAGGAATGGTAGAAAACAAATGAAAGAATGATGAAACAAATAAATACATAATAAAAATTGATAGAAGGAACAAAAATTAACAAAGAAAGATAGAAAGAAAAAATGATAGAATGATAACAACAAACAATAACATGAGGGATGATAAAATAATAAACAAAGAATAACACGAGGAAAGACACAAAGAGAAAATGATAAAGAATAGATAATCAAAAGATAGAAGAGAAGATGAAAGATAGAAAACAAAGAATAACATGAGAAAAAACAGAAAGAGAAAATAATAGAAGAAAAAGAAAGAACAACATGAGCCAAGTTAAAAAGAAAAAAAATGAGATAATAATAAAACAAAGAATAACATAAGGAAAGATAGACAGAGAAGGCGATAGAATAGTAAAACTAAAGAATACGAAATGAAAAGATAATAATGAATTAATAAATATTAATTTTGTGATGGAAACAAAGAAACCGAGACATACATTTTTATTACGCGCGAGCATGACCCGTGCCAACATAGCAACAGGAACCGTTCCTGTTGTTATGAAATAACGTGTCTCATCAGGGTAAACAATTACGATGAGTGTGAACATAAACGAAGCTTACCTCTGTCCGCAGTCCAGTGGATCGGTCTAGAGTAGATCGGTCCTGCAAAGTTAGTGAGAATGGGGTCTAAAACACGCTCTGCACACGTCACTACCAACGTCCCCGTCCCGAAACAGGTTAATGAGGACAGGATCATAGTACAGGACGATCTCTGTTGAGTGAATTCTTCCGTCGTCTTTGGCTTGCGTCGCGAACACTTGTATGATGGACCACCTCATTTAGATATTCTCTTTCTCGTCTCGCCGAGGATATACATTAAATCGTGAATAGTTTGAAGCGCATGTTCAGAATCATTCCACTTTAAAAATCAACCATCCATTGCGAGGGATCTTATTTTGGAGTGTCAAACTACTGGAGTTGTGCAAAGTTAAGGTAAAATGCTCAAGAGTTTTCTTCTCCACGAACCTTAATTGAAACGGTCAAAGTTTTACTCTCTATTAAAGTATGTCGCCTCATTTGATAATACGTTGAATGGTCATCGTATGAGGTTAAAGTTAGCCAAAGTTAACTTGAAATTGCAGATAGAAAAATATCTCATATAAATCCAAACAAAACGATTAAATTTCGTTTACGAAGATATTTAAGTGTGGGTATTAATAGTAAGTATAGGGGCAGTAGCATTAGTACTCATATGGTAGTCAGGGGCGGATCTAGGGGTGTTTTGGCGGTTAACCCCCCCCCCCCCCTTGGGCGGCTAAGTGAAGAAAAAAAAAGTAAAACAGTAAAACGGCGCGATTTTGGGAAAATCCTGGATCCGCCACTGGGTGAAACACCCCCTTTGGAAAAAAGCTAGATCCGCCCCTGGTAGTAGCAGCAGCAGAAGTAGTTTAATTAGTAGTAGCAGCAGCAGAAGTAGAATTAGTAGTAGTAGTAGTAGTAGTAGTAGAGGTAGTAGACTACTACTAGTAGTAGTAGTAGTTGTAGTAGTAGTATAAGATAATAAAGATGATGATGATAACAAAGAAGAAGAACACAACATTCACGAGGCTCTTCTACCAACGTTGCACACATTCAGGAAAACAGGACTCCTGCATGCTATATTAAACTGTCGAGGGTGCCATCGCATATACAGCAAACAAACACAAGATATTACAACTTTGTTAGATAAATTGACCCTATATGTTTTTCTTTTAGACGAAAATCCGAGATCAGGCATTATGGCTTTCGAACACCGTGTACTTCTTCCGCTGATCATCTTCTTCTGTATCCAAACCCTGCATGGAGATGCTGTTCCCATAACACCGTGGGATCTGAAGAGACGGCCTTGTCACGAGAACAGTGAGCGGAAGGAAGCTAATTGTGATGAAAGAAGTTTGGATTCTGTTCCCCAAAATCTTCCTGAAAATACTGAAGTTCTGAAGCTGAGGTCCAACAAACTCACCTCTCTCTTAAACTCTACATTTAAAAGATACCCGCTCCTTACCAAATTGGATATTGCCCATAACGACATCAGGATGATTGAATCTAGGACATTTTACCCTCTCAAGGAATTGCAGGACATTGATATGTCTTTCAACCTTCATCTTGTGCTTCCCGACACAGGGCTCTTCAGGTGGGCTAAGAAGCTGTCTGTTCTAGAGTTATGGTCTTCAAACTTGATATCACTCCCCAACGATACGCTAAAATGGAGCCCGCATTTAGAAAGTGTACAACTGAACTACAACCGTCTTACTTTCATCAACATCAGTAGCTGTGGCAGGGTTAAGCGTGTTTACTTGTCTACAAATAATCTTACGCACATCACCCAGAAAGCTTTCTATTTTTCATGTCATAGTGAGACTTTGGATCTAACTGATAACCTCATCCTATCAGTCGATCCCAATGTGATCGCATCATTGCATGTCAGGTCACTGCGGGTCGGGTTCGTTTCTCTGTCATTCGAGGTGTTGAGAAATATATTTATTGGCGTATCACGGTCGAATATAGAGCAATTAGAAATCACCTATTGCTTTACTTTGAGTGAATTTCCAAGAGATTTCTTTGATCCGCTGCAGGGTCATTCTCTTTCAGTGCTTGACTTATCTGGGAATGTTATGCCCACCCTCTATCCATTCGTCTTCTCGAATTTGACGCGTACTAGATTACTGGATATCAGTGGCAACAGGATCGAAACGATCGAACCAGATTTTTTTGAAAACATGCAGGATATCAGGGTTTTGAAATTGCAAAGCAATAGAATAAACAAAATAAACACCAACAATTGTCCATGGAAAATAGGCTTAACTGATTTGGATCTATCCGACAATGTTTTGACTACAGTTTCCCGATTCACTTTTCTCGGTTTGCAAAATTTAACGTTTTTAGACATGCACTCAAACATACTCCTTACAACCCTAGAAATGGCATCATTTATGGGACTAGAACAAATTGAAACTATAAATTTGTCACTATGTAATATCGTTAATGTTGAATTGGTCACTCTGAGCTTAAAATCTCTTTTCCTTAAAAATAACCCAACGATGTTTTTAATGCCTGTAACTTCCTTCGAAAGTCTACAGTCACTTGTGTATTTGAACCTCAGGAAGACCGGGCTTGATAGCATTCGTCTTTGGAATTTTTTTACAAATATCTCTCTTTTCGATGGACTGTTTAGTCTGACGACTTTGGATCTGAGTGAAAATTCAATCGGCTCAATATATGATAGTGCAGATTATTTATCACCTTGGGTATTTAAACCACTGTCTGCTCTACAAAATCTCAGTTTGGAAGACTGTCAAATTTCATTTCTTAATCCATTAGCCTTTGAGGCGTTAAAATTCCTTCGGGTGCTGAACTTAAGGGGAAACAAAATAAAGCAACTTTCTATTGACATATTCAAAAATTTTGGACAAATGACAAACATTGATCTACATAATAACCGTTTGACATACCTCGATAAAAACCTGTTTTTGAACAATAGCAGGCTGACAACACTTTTGTTATCAGAAAACAAATTAACAAGACTCAACCAAAGTACTTTCAAACTGATTGGGCCTTCTCTTACATCAGTAGATCTTTCAGGGAACCCGATAGACTGCAACTGTGAACTAAGTTGGCTTCTTGCCTGGATTAGCGGACCACTTGTACTCATGAACAAGAATAAAACTATTTGTTCATCAGCGTCTTTAGAGCGTCTTCGCGATAAACCGCTGTTTGATTTTGACTCAAAAACGGTTTGTAGCCCTAACATTGCCCTCTATTCTCTGACTTCCCTCGCCATCATGTCCTTCGTTGTCATTGTCGTACTGGTCTTTCACTATCGATGGCAGTTGAGGTACAAACTCTTTCTCTTGAAATTAGCAGCCGTTGGGTATAACGAGATGCGAGACGCTCGAGACCCCAATGATTATGAGTTCGACATGAATGTCATCTTTTACGACGATGACGAAGAGTGGGCTCGCGAACATCTTCTACCAACTCTCGAAGAAAGAATCCCGCAGTTTCAGAGGAACGTCTTTGGTGACGAAGACCTCGTGCCGGGTATGCATTACTTGGATGCGATTGACTACGTGGTGAGCCGGAGTTACAAGACCGTCATTCTACTAAGCAGAGCCGCCGTGCGCGATCGTTGGTTCATGCTCAAGTTCCGCACCGCGATGGACCATGTGAGTGACACTCAGACTGAGTTCGTAGTCGCTGTCTTCATCGAAGACATCCAAGATGATGAGATACCTTTCTTGGCGAGGTTGTATCTCAGTGACGGCAGACCCTACCTTCATTGGACTGAGGACGTGAGGGGACAGGAATATTTCTTTAATCAATTGACGAAATATCTAACGATTAATCTCAGAACCAATGACTTGATCCCTAACGAGTAGAAGAATGTGACAATATGGGCTGTTGGTGGTAAGCAGGGGTAGCCTCAATATCGTTATGAGCTGCAATATTAGAAATTTAAAATAAAAACAAAAAATCGGAGAGTGCAACGACATAATATTCTTTGAGCAATTCCTTTTCCTATATACCTCGTCTTTGAAGGGCAAGACATAGCATATTGAGAATTTTCGTATGAATACAAATGTACCACCTGATTCTATAAATGCTTTCTACTACGACATGGTCTAACACATTGTCGTACGATATGCTGATCCCTTTGGGTCTGCGACAGTGACCTAAACATACTCAGTAATCCTAGAGGTATTACTAGGGTGATCACACTCAGGCACGTAGCCACGGTGGGGGGGGGGGGGCACGGGGGGGGGGGCACGTGCCCCCCTAAAATTTCCAAGATCGGTTGAACTTTTTTAGACCCTTTTTTTTTTCCTCGATCGATTACATGTATGTGCCCCCCCCCCCCCCCAAACATCGAACTCTGGCTACGTGCCTGATCACACTGCCTGTGCACACAGTCTGCCCCATGCACATACACACACACAACAGCAGTCAGTTGGTAGAAATAGCAATTTTCGTAAATTTATTTTTAAAAAACTGAACAATATTTTTAAATTTTTATTTCACATATCTTTCAAGCATACCTTTAACTACAATTTTGTGTAGTTTCATTGTTATAGAGTGGTGAAGTGTGACGTCATCAAAAATCTATTTTTAGAATTTCTCAATTTTTTCTTCATATTCCGAAAGAACATCAAAAATAATGTCCAAATGTCGAAAACCAATTGCATATGTTAGGTATTGGCTGAGATATGACCATCTGAATGAATATATGTCCTATGAGAACTCAGTGTTATATGCTCTGGCTCCTAACCATTAGGAGCCAGGGCATATAACACTGAGTTCCTATGGGGAGTATATTTATTCAGATGGTCATATCTCAGCCAATACTTAACATATTCAATTGGTTTTCGACATTTGGACATTATTTTTGATGTTCTTTCGGAATATGAAGAAAAAATTGAGAAATTATAAAGATAAATTTTTATGACGTCACAGCTTCGGTACTCAATATGTTAAATTATTAATTAGAATATTGTCTTTTCAGCCATGTGTGACATGGCCCGCTGATCGCCCATTGACTGTTATTCTGCGTGGTGAAAATGCACTTCAATGTATAAAACTCCCCTACAAAAATGCAATATTCTCATGTGTTTCACTCATTGAAACTGTACTGGGGTCACCAAACTTTGTTTTTCTCTAAAATTCAGTCCCTGTGGAATGTTATGACCTGTTGAATTGAATGGTTTCTCGGAAAATCGTCATAAATCCTCAAATCTGACATTTAAAAAAAAAACTATACTGTGATGTAGCTGAAAGTCTGCAAATTCTTATCATTTGTTCGGTTTTTCTGAATAATTTGTGAAACATATGAGGAAATAGCTGTAACGGTGATCCAAGTAATTTCCATCGCCATATTTTATTGGCATTGCAAAAATATTTGGAATTTAATGTTAATATTTGGTGTAAATATGATCTATAAATATATGATTTAAAAAAATGCCAACAAAATGAACAGTTTGACTTTCCTATATATATATATAATTAGCTGAAATGACCTAATTTGCATATTTGATGAATATTCATTAAAAAAAAAAATCGTAAAAAAAAAAAAAATTCCATATACCTGTCTGATATACATAGGTTTCATGGATGTATCATGTTCGGTTTTGATTTGATTACATATGCGCATATTAATTAGACGGACTTAGTTATTTTCACAACTTTTTCATATCTGCAGATTCGCAAAAATGGCAAATATGACTTATTTTGTTTGCTTCTGTTTTCAAAACGGTAATAGATATATGAATTTTCTTTTTTGTATTTTTACCTCAAAGATGATATTTTAGTGTCTGATAATTTAATGTATTATTTGTGTCCAAGAAAGTGATGAATTAAGTTGTCAACTTTGTCGAATTTTGCCATTTTTGCCAATTTGACCATTTCTGGCAGGTTTTTCGGTAATTTTGCGATATCAAAAAAATGGTATAAAATCACAACGCATGGACCGATTTCAATTCTGTTCTTTGTTTTTTCAAGCTTTTATAAAGCTTGATCATTTGCAATCATCAAATAACATGTGTTTGTTGTACTTATTTTTGGTGTGCTATAGCTAGTAATAGATGGATAAGTCTGGGACAGGATGTATATTCATACCTTATCATTGATAATCAATGTTAATATTTTTAAAACTTAACATTACATATTTAAGAGAGATAACATATTGGCACTTATTATCTTAAGATATCAAATGATATTCATTAAAGATGTGTAAGTTACAACTACATTTAAATTAATTTAACAATATTTAGAGGATTTCGTTTGTACATATTGTTCAACCCAAAACCTGTTCCCAGTATGTGTGTGTGTGAGTGTGTGTGTATGACGTGTGTACAAAGAGATACTAGATAGGGATATAATTCTCAAAGTTTTGGTATGGGGTCATGAATTTGGTTCAAATTAACATATTTTGAAGCACATGCGATCCTACAATATTCAGTGATCGTTGTCGCGGTTAAAAACGAGTCTAAAGTTATGAAATTGTAAATAATAAACTCTTTGTGCATATCTCTCTCAAGATCAAGATATTATTTGAGCTATAACAATGTTTCTTGACTAAAATCGACCAATTAGCTATTCCCGTTTGAAAATTAAATATCACAACTGCATATTCTGAGATTTTCATGGTCACAGCTACCATTTTATGGCCGTAGGCGCCATTTGAAATTCATCAAAATTTACCGGGAGCACCGGTAAATTTTGATATTCAATTTCTATAGAAAGTAGAAGTGTTTTAGGGGCTAAATTTTCTAGTGCTTATAATATATCTACAGGGGCATCCAAATATATCAAAATTGTAAATAATCACTATCCAGCCAATTTTCAAAATTTACCAAAACTTTATATTACCTTTAAGGTGGTTGAAAAAATAATTATTGGAAAAAACAATTACCTTGATATCCTGATGCGTAAAACATGATGGAAAATTTCTTTCATCGATTAATATTGATCGGCGGCGATCCCGGAGGTAAGGGGACACGTCCCCCCTCATTTTGTTTAGGGGGGATCGTCCCCCCCCCCCCCCCCCCCCCCCCGCGGAAAATTTGAAAAAGTGCCAAAAAAAAGTATATAGCAAAATAATACCGCCTAAAGACTACAACAAACTTGTAGGCTCTGGAGGGCCCAAGAGTGCATCGTTTAGACAAATAAAAATGCAAAAATCTTCTCGCTTGGTAGCTACGCCTCCTGGGATAATATCCTTCATAGTATATATTGTAGAAAAACGAAGTGTGCAAAAGTATATTGCTTTTTTGATACTATAGTTTTGGTAAGGAATGTAATCTTTTTAATATAACAAAACTTCTGAAACCTGTGAGGGGTGTTCACTTCCATCACCTTCATCCCTCTCGTTCACTAAGCTTCCTCGCACTAACGTAATTATGGGAGGGGGCTTGTGCCTTGGAGGCAGGTCCCCCTAATAAAATTCAAACGTGGTCTATTAGAATTAGAATTCGATACCAGTAATTTACAATTGTTGCTGAAATGGCATGTTTTTTCCCTGAGCTTCATTCCGGGGGATATGCCTCCTGGACCCCACCAGAGGCCTAAGGCGGGCCCCGGGACAGTGGCGGATCCAGGGGGGGGGGGGCGGGGGCCCGGCCCCCCCCCCCTTGAGAAAAAAATCATGTAAAATCACGTGATTTTTACCTTTTTGGGGGGTTGGGCCCCCCCCCCCCTGGCGCTCAAGGGGGGGGGGGTGCAAATCGAAAAAAATTTGAGGATCAAAAAAAAAAAATGTGCTCACTAGCATTTCTTAAAGGTACTATATGTCCCATTTGCAGCCAACATCAAGTTCTGTAGAACTTTGCAGGAAATGTGAATACGGTATGTCACGTGTGTCTAATGTGTTAAATTCAGGCTAGTGTCCTAATATTCAAATTATGCAAGGAAATCCCGACCCGCTTACTTTCTAGACTTCAATGTTAGACACTATATTGAGTGACTGACTGACTTTGGAATAAAATGAGCTGTTTAGGGTACATGAGCTGATGAGCATTTGTCTACATCAATAATCCACTTCTTGTAATGGCCAAAATTAAACTGATTGAATCTTTGCGCAGCACAAAAAGTACGACCATTCGGTACAAGGGTCTGATCAGACCAGTAGCGAACGCATGATTTTTTCAAGGGGGGGGGGGGGTTAACATTTTAAAATGGGGCCGAAAATTTCGCAACGACTCAGCCAGCCGCTGAATAAGCGGGGGGGGGGGGGGGGGGGGTGTTAAGAGTTCACTTCTTTTTTTCTTCTTTTTTTTGGTCTCGAAATTTGAAAAATTGACATTTTGCTCCGTTGGGGGGGGGGGGGGTAAGGTCACCTTTTTTAGGTCAGCCATTGGCATAATTAAAAAAACAAAAACAAACAACCAAACAAACAAAAACAAAAAACACAAGGGGGGGGGGGGTTGATCCAAATTACACACATAAACAAAAATTGAAGGGGGGGGGGGTTAACCCCCAACCCCGACTAATGGTCGTTAATTTCCCACGTAGAGACATTTTCAAGCCCTTTCGTTTTGAGGGAAGTTCTAAATTAGTATTATCTTTCGAATGCTGATAGAATTTAACCTTTTCATTTTTTGCTTGCAGATGGGACTGCTACGCCTTCCACTGAACATTAATCAGACTTTAAAATTCTACTCTTCACAAAAAGTCATGTGCCTGATCTTTTACAAGCTTTGGTTTTTATTTATGCTCCTCACATTTTACATGGTTTTTATATAGCCCTGTATATCTACATATTTCCCTTGAAATATCTTGATATAAACCATGAATTATAAGATAACGTTGCTCTATTCAGCACCAGAATCGATGTGGGGGTGATGACAATGTTTTAATCGGAAATAAAAGATTTTTCTGAAAAGAATAAAATATGTATATCTTTTATGAGGCAAAGAGTATGCGGATCTAGTGGATTATCGGATTAAAAAAAAAAAGACGCGGGAAAAATAGTTTGAGCGAGTACATTTTACAAGTAGACTCTGTGGGCTCTGGGCTCTGTTTCATAAAACTTGCTATCAATAACAAGTGCAAATATACGATGACAAATTTGCTCTCAATTATCCAATCAAATTAATGCAAGGATTTCAGTAGCTTGTTAGAGGTTATTGGAGGTATAAGGTAGTAGTAGTATAATGCAAGATGGGACTGGTATATGGTATGCTAGGCATGGGTGCGAGATGGATAGTATTATGAGCGAACATGAATGAATTGACAACAGTAATACTTTCAGTTGCTTGTTGGGTCATTGGCCTTGGGGTGGGGCCTGTCAAGAAGGTTACATGTCAATTTTCCGAAGGTTCACAATTCCGAAGGTCCGTAATTCTGAAGGTTTGTAATTCCAAAGGCTTGTTACTCCGATGGTCAGTTATTCCGAAGGTTTGTATTTCCGAAAAATTAAATAGGGTTCATCATTCCGAAGATTCGTTATTCCGAATTAAGCCTCGAGTGTTGACCCCTGTTGACCTGTAATTTGGAAGGGTGCGGAAAATAAGGTTTTAATTCGATTTTGTGCAATCCTTTATATTTGTATTCTCCGTTCATTCAGCTTTCCATCAATAACAAGTTGTATATTCATCGAGGGCGGATCTAGGGGGGGGGGGGTTCGGCGGTTTACCCCCCCCCCCCCCTTGGGCGGCAAAATGGAAAATAAACAAGTCTTAAAAAAGGGGGGAAAGAAAAAAAATGTAAAACGGCGCGATTTTTGGAAAATCCTGGATCTACCACTGGGTCAAACACCCCCCTTGCCAAAAAGCTAGATCCGCCTCTGTTTATTTATTTTATTTATTTTGTTTTATTTACCCAGAAATAAATCGGAAAGACATACAGAATGTTGAATGTAAAACACCTAGTACAAGACACTTCATACTTATAGAACATGAATTTTTTTTTTCTTCTGATATTGTCATGGGGCATATTACAAATGAAAAAAAGGACACACTTTTATGCTGGCCTGCCTCGTGGTGCTCTAACCCACACTCCTATCTAGTAGCTAACCTCACAACAGAAGAGAGTAATCTTGAAAACAATCGAGTTGAAACGTTCTGCTCTAGACTTTATTCAAGCCTTACTTTGGCATGATGTTGTTGTGTACATGGTAAAACTGTATGAATGGTAACATCACATCAATCATACATATTAAAAGATCATAATATAAAACAAACCAAACATATTTATATGTTCTCAAAACGAGGCAGGTTCATAGCCTATGAATCAACCATAATCCAAACAAGGTAATAGCACATAAAATAAAAAACATATATTTACTTAGGTGAAAAAGAAAATGACTCTATCCTTTCAGCCCTTTTATCATCAAGGTTTCTACTAGATGCATCTTAAAATCACCTGAAAACAATAGATTCTCAGGTTCAGTCCTTATGGAATAATGCTCAAGTTATAATGAGAATACTGCACCAATATTTAGTCATGACTGTACCTATACAAAACCTGACGATTTTAGAGGTCTGCACATCAAACCCTGATTATATAACATTCTTAACTAGATGGAATTTTGACTGCGCGCAGTCAAAAATGATGCCTCCGCCATAGAGCAACTTTACAAACCAAAACGGAAGCAATTTTTAAAATTCAAGTTTGATTGTAATCCATCTGTCGGTTTTAATAATAATGCATTCACAAACTTTTTATAGTCATACATAATGAGCCCCATGACCTTTGACCTGATGACCCTCAAATCTAATCAGTTAATTGGCTCTGCAAGATACATATATACATGTCTTGAGTTTGACAGTAATCTGTCTATTGGTTCTCATGATAATGCGATCACAAGCTATTTGTGCATACATAATGAGCCCTGTGACCTTTGACCTCGTGACCCCAAAATCTAATCAGTTCATTGGCTCTGTTAGATACATACATGACCCAAGTTTGGCAGGAATCCATTGACCGGTTCTTGAGATAACACGATCACGAGCTATTTTTGTAGACATAACGAGCCCTGTGACCTTTGACCTTCGACCTCGTGACCCCAAAATCTAATCAGTTCATTGGCTCTGTTAGATACATACATGACCCAAGTTTGGCAGGAATCCATCGATCGGTTCTTGAGATAACGCGATCACAAGCTATTTTTGTATACATAATGAGCCCTGTGACCTTTGACCTCCGACCTCGTGACCCCAAAATCTAATCAGTTCATTGGCTCTGTTAGATACATACATGACCCAAGTTTGGCACGAATCCATTGATCGGTTCTTGAGATATTGCGATCACAAGCTATTTTTGAATACATAATGAGCCCTGTGACCTTTGACCTTCGATCTCGTGACCCCAAAATCTAATCAGTTCATTGGCTCTGTAAGATACATACATGATCCAAGTTTGGAGAGAATCCATCAATTGGTTCTTGAGATAACGCGATCACGAGAACGGGACGTACGGACGGACGGACGTACGGACGTACGGACGGACGGACAACCAGAAAACATAATGCCTCCGGCTACTTTGTAGCGGAGGCATAAAAATGCAGTTTCCATGTTTTAAAATTATGTAGACTTCTTAGTAGGTCCATGCTTATATCATGTTTTTACATTTGACAAAATTAACTTATAGAATTGTGCACTTCCATCCTATCTATCTGACGTAATCAGATTGTCAACCATAATTCTCTGTTGCTTGTATCCTATAACTGCAAAAATAATTTGATAGATTGCAAATAGATATAGGCATCACCACTAGAAATTGATAATGGAAATGTTGTGCTCATAAATTCAGGTTTCAGCAAAATTAACTAATCCTTTCAATCATTGGAATCAAACCTGTCAGAAAAACATTATAATTGACTGATACAGTCAAACCTGCTTTAGTGACCACCTGTCTACAAAGACCACCTGTCTACACCAAGCACTTCTTGTGTTTCCCTTGGGCGGTCGCTGTAGACAGGTTTGACTGTACAGCAATCGAAGAATATTCATTCAATACTTTTGCACAAGCTATAGCTAAGGTAATTTTGATTGTAAAAGCTAAACTTCCAAAATATCTGCAGACGCTTCCCAAAATACAAAATATGCTGTAATTTATGTAGACATAGCGTATGCTGTAGCTATCAAAACTACACAAAAACGCTTATATACATTTGCACATACAAAATATTAAATTCTGTCTCGACTGTTGACAATGATCAAAATAAGAGCAATGAACTTTCACAACACCATCAGAAAGTGGTACTCGATTTTAAACCTTCAAGAAGCATTTTGTTCATGAGATATAGTAACCATAATTCACACAAACTTGTGGCTTGAGAAACATAGACGATTTTTCGCTCAATCAGCGTGGCATGGTTTCTCAATGCAGCACAACTTTAGAATATTCAAAATATTCAGTGCAAACACAATCCTTGCATTTGTAATTTTCATAGTATGATATTACAGAATTTATAGCCCATGTTGTATATCATCATCAATAGTTAATCTTCAGTGTTGCATAGTTTACTGCACTTTCAGTTCCGTCTTTTGAATTCTACTAGGGGCAAGATTTTTCGTCCAGAATATCTACAGGTGATCAACCTCAGAAGTATTGTATCATCATGCCCCATTATGCTTCTGACAACTACAGCCACAAGAAGCATCATCAAAGAATTGCTTCAGCTATTACATATAAAGGAGACAGACATTGAAACAGTGGCACATATTCCAGATAGATAAAATTATATTAAACCAGATGGGGTCTCGACTGTGGGTATCAAGATTAATGCCTCAAGCTATCATCTACACACAGTGAGTAAAAATGTTGTTATTGGAAGCAATGTAACAAAATTTAGCACATGTACAACTACTAAATAAGAGAGAAGTAAGAGTAGCACTGTCCAATGTTGCACTGTGATTCCACGTCAACAGAAATTGAATACAGATCTTACATCTTTACTTCTTGCACAAAAGTGATTACCATATACATGTACAGTTTGTATTTATTGGAATATCAATCACAAAAATGTCAATGAAAGTTTTAGAGTCATGTATAACCAGCGTCAACATTATTTTTCTTAAAACAAAATAATCTCCATCTGTATACATGATTGATAATTTTTTTTTTTTTTTTTTTCAATTCTTGAAATACCGGTAACAGTGTTAAAGCTGCTTTTATCTTACAAAATACATGAAATATATAACATTTTTCCAGTGACATTTCTTAATATTCTCCTCCATTTCTTTGACATATTTTGGTTTGTATATTATCTGAATACCTTTCACGACAATTGAATACCAATTGATTCTTTTAATACAGGAGCGTTACAAAAGTAACCGAAACATTGGGCTGGATGGAGTCTGAATTGGGACATCAATCACCTGGAAATCGACTGTGTAAGATGTACCATGCTAGTACAGATCAAACTAGGCAGACACAAATTAAAATATCACTCCCTCAACAGGGATACAGACTTCATGGTGTCCATGTTGTGTTGTGGCCACGATGGCATCCGACTCGGGCATAGATTTGCCAGATGTAGTATATATTTCATCGGGGTGTATCCTGGGCGCTGTTTCATAAAACTTGATATCAATAACAAGTTACACGCTACTGTTATAAGCTACTGAAATCATGGCATCTGATTGGCTGAGAGCAAATTTGTCATAGAAATTTAGCAGTTGTTATAGATAACAAGTTTTATGAAACTGGCCCCTGTGATGTGATGGCATACTGGCAAGAGGTTGGGAGGTGTGCCAGGGTTGGAAGGGCAGGGAAGGCCAAGATTGTCTCTCAAGGGACGTACAAATATTGGTCACGAATTTACAGAATTTACCTTTTTTGATAGTTCCTTATTGAAGGAACAAATATTATCTACAGATCATAATTGAGAGACCAATTGTGAGAGCCACCAGTGGCATGAGCGGCCTGCCATAGTTAAGTCCAACTCAAAGTCGATCTTAGTCTTTGTGAAACACCCCCCAGGACAGCTTTGCTTATTCAAGAAGAGGTGTGCTTGATAACCTCTTTTGTTACAGGAATGAGTAAAGATTCCCTAAAATCTTGCTCGGATAATGCAGACTATTGTATTGTTGTTTTGTTTGTGATAAGAAAACAAAATAAGCCATCAACAACAATGTAGAAGTACTTCAAATGTCTGTGCAATATGTGTACAATTAAGCTGACTTTTGACAGAGCTACTACACGTTGAAGATATTTGAAAGAATTCTTAAGTAAACAGTTCATTAATGTGCCTCTATTAATAACTACTTCACTTTGCATCATGGCCTTCCTCAAACTTTCAGTTTTGTCAGGGCTCCAATAAATAATATGGCGTTCAAACCATTCATGTCAAATATCTTTATGGTAATATATATGTTTGTCCATTAAACCTTGCCAATGCATTTGTGCAGACCCAAATTTTAATTGGAATTGTCATTACAAGACATCTTATTCTAATTCTACATGTCCCAAATCCAAATTGTTAGAGAGTTGCTTCAATTTCTGTCCAAGTCTTTTAGGGTAATGTACTTTGCTACGATGTTCAAATTGTTGATGAGCTGGATGCTCCCTGCCTGGAATGTAGTCAAAGAGTGCATCTTGCTCATATTCTTCAACAAAACGGACGATTTCATCTTCATATCCATTCCGTCTTTCCTTCTGATGCTTCACTCCCATATGAACGTTCGCATTAGTGAGCATGGCATCCAATGAACTCTCAAATTGGCCACTCATCTTTGCACACATTTTCATCTGGTCTTCAGTAAATCTACCTCCGGCAGTCTCCAACATTTCTGTATTTGATATATTTAGACAAAAATATTGTTTTGAGTAGTGATCCATATCTATTACCTGGATGAACAGAGCTAATGGTGAGTAAAGAAAGATATATTTGGTGTTAATTTTCACATGCAATGTGTTTCTTATGAAAATAAACTTACACATATCGAAATGTGAAAGATTCACTTCATCTTCTCTCATGGTATATATGTATCGTATACTCTCATGGATGAATGAATATATTTGTTTTTTTACAAAAGTAATATCTGCAGAATTATTTTATTACAATTGTAATAAAATAAACTAAAGGTAAAGTCAAAGGCAGAGAATTATTTATTTCCTGTTTTGAATAATTGAGAAAAGAGTGTAAACTAAGCTAAATTTATCATAAAAGGCTTTCAACATGACCCCTTCTGCCACTTGGTCTAATACCTGTTGGTACAATTCCCAGATTATCTAACAACTTTGGCTAAATTTAGTCTACTACCAATTTGGTCTAATTGCTGTTTGGTTTATTTTCACTTTGTCTTATACCCACTTGGGCTAATTGTCATTTTTCTTATGACCAAATTGTTTAATTGCCACTTAGTCTACATAATTTTCCCTATTTCATCTGATGACCATTTGGTATCTTACCAGTTCGTCTAGTCAAATAGACTAAGTGGTATTAGACCAAATCGGTATAAAAGAAAATGGGCATAGCCTAACTAGATATTTGACGAAACGGTAAACAGGCCAAGTGGCAATAAGATGAAAAGGTTGTAGACGAAATAGGGTTAGACCATGTGGGATATGAGACCAAACAGGCATTAAATTCAAATTTGGGTAAGCCAAGTGACAATTCATCTCCCATGTATTGAAGCACAGAAAGGTTTCCATTCATGACTGCTGATTGTGTTGATCAATTTTCTTGTTCAGAAATCAATTATTTTACACTGATTTGTTACAAATGTCAATTCAGTTGTCCCTAACTCAATCATCCTGAACAGTGTGGCATGTGAAACAATATCTCTTATCATAAGAGTATTTGGTGAGATCTTGCTGGAGAAAATATAACGCCCTGTACAGTGCGTCCCAGAAAAAACGAAACCGAGATTCATCGAAATGTGATTTTCTCTTTGATTCCGTCCGCCAAATGACTTTTTGGTTTCCTCTCTTCAAATTCATTTTAATCACTCATGCATGAAATATGCATCATATGAGTTGCATCAAATGAAAGAAGAGGATCTAAGCTTTCCAAATATGTGTCATTTATTAATTATAAATGTGACTAAATTATGATAAAACATCGATAATTCTCGGTTTCGTTTTTTCTGGGACGCACTGTATATCAAAATAGAGTATAAGATAATGACGGGATCCTAATCAAATGATTGGTTGAGAGCGTAAATGTGACCAGGCATTTATTTGGTCTAACACATAATTTTGATAAGGACCGGTCATTTTCAAATGCTTATGACCGGTCATTAGTAAAAATCATAAAACATCAATTCATATAACAAATAAAATGTCATCTTATAAAACAAATATTACACATCATTTTGTTCGGCATTAGTCAAATTACCGACACTCGGTACCTTCACAACAGTCCAAACACCCTCGGCTATTACCTCACATGCTTATGACCGGTCATATTAGCAAAAAAAATCATAAAACATCATTTTATATAACAAATAAAATGTTATCTTATAAAACAAATATTACACATCATTTTGTTAGGCATTAGTAAAATTACCCACACTTGGTACCTTCACAACAGTCCAAACACCCTCGGCTATCACCTCGGGCGTGTTAGACTGTTCCAAAGGTACCTTGTGTGGGTAATTTTTACTAATGCCCTCACTGCTGTGTATTATTTGTATAATCACCTTACCTTTGTAATCCAAGCTCACATAGTCATTTGTCTGATCAAGGCCGATATTCCCACCAGGCTTCCCTGTTGCGTTTGCTACTCGATTCCACATGTAGCTGATCTGAAGTTGAGGGTCTGCAAAACCTCCTACACCTACATGAGATGATTAGTAAGGGCATCAGAATTGGATGCAATGCATGCACATGACTTCATTCTCATAAGTTAAAGATATTACCGGTATGTCCCTTTTGCAGCCAACATCAAATTCTGTAGAACTTTGCAGGAATTATGAATACGTCATGTATGTCCTATCTGTGAAATTTAAACGTTAGCAGTGTCCTAATATTCAAATTATGCAAGGAAACCTGTTTACTTGCTAGACTTCATTGTCAGACACTATTGAGTGACTGACTGGCTTTTTTCATCTTTGGTAATAACATACATAAAATGAGCTGTAAAGGGTACACAAGCATTTGTCTACACCAATAACCCACTTCTTGTAATAGCAAAAATTAAACTGATTGAATCTTTGCGCAGCATAAAACATATGACCATTCGGTACAATGGTCTGAAAAATCAGACTAGTACTTATTGGCTCTATAGCTCCTAAGTCGATTCAACAACTAATAGTCGTTATTTTCCAAAATAAAGACATTTTCCAGCCCCCTTTTTTTTAGGGAAGTTCTAAATTAGTATTGTCTTTCAAATGCCGTTGGAATTTAACCTTTTCATTTTTTGGGCCTGCAAATGGGACATAGTACCTTTAAAGTGCAGTCTATTATCTCCTGGAGGTTATCACATTGCAATTTTCCCTTATAACCCTTATCAGTCAGAATGCAAATTTAAAAAAATGATTTTCAAGGGGATGAATTTTCTCAAGATAGCTTACTATGTAGGCCTGTAGTACAGGTTTTATGCTCGGTTACTATTTGGAAATATCAATAAGGGATAAAGCAATGTCGATCTGGCGCTGCTCAGTGGCTGCCGGGCTCACGATCAATTGGGTAAAAAGAATTTCCACTTTCTGTTTAGCTTAATACAATTCGGAGTGGACTTTAAAGATTATTATTATTATTATTATTATTATATATATATGTTGAGTCTGCAATCACTTTTTGACACAAATTTTAATTTAAAATACTAGCTGTTGTCTAATTAGCACCAGTAAATGTATCTGCAATAATTTACATTTATAACACTGAGAGTTGGCCAAAAAAAACTTGCAATTGTGGTACATGCAAAATATATATGTACATACATGCAAGTAAGTAGTGGCCATTGATCAAGTACTTTAGATGGCTTTTCTCATGGAAATGAAGCATGTCTGCTTTCCAATCATCGATCATGGCAGGTCCATCTCCCTCACGGACCGCTTCACGTCTTACAAGATGACAAAGACCCTCGTACATTAGAGCCTTGGTATGGTTGAGAACAGGATCATCATTCTCTGCCCCTAGTGTACAAGTTTCTCCACAATACCATGGTTCTATGAATGAGAAAAGAGATCAATAAGGTATTATCACTTAACCTTTACTGTCTAGGTATATTTCCAGCAGTAGACCCCCTTTTTGGGGGGGGGGTGGGGTGAGGTGACGTGACTATTACCGGTATATCAGTGAAAATTACCTATATAAAATTTAAGAATGGCCTTAAGAACACATTTTTCAGACAAGCTTATTTATGAGTAAATAGCTTCATAATCAACTACCATCCCTATTTCACAACATCTTCAAACTGTTCCACATATCCCACCCGTTGTTAAAAAAATGATCACTTAAAAAATCCTGAAATGATGTTAGCACAAAAGTCAGTAAAACATCTAAACCTGATGTTTGAAACTCCTTACCAAACTCAATAAGGCATTGTTCATCTCTCCATTCTTTGAAAGCATCTCTTAAAAATACTCTTAATACCTGCACAATCGATTTCAACATGCATCAAGCGTTGATAACTTGATGTCTCAAATTGGGGTCACATTGCAACTCATATTTGCATATTTTGTATTCTTTTTCATATTCTTTATTGAAATGGCTCCGTAATTAACGGTGTATTAACCGCACCTTTTTGCCGCCGAAAAAATTTCAAAGTCGGGGGTGCGGTTTATGCACAGTACACCCCAAAAAAAAAAAAAAATTAAAGTTTCGATTTATGCCCCTTCACCTGGCGCTATGCCTGGCAATGTCTCCCAGCTCAGTAATCAGTGTGTTGACTCACCACTCGAAAACTAGAACAACACTCAAATTTGTCTGTCATCTTGGTTTGAAAGTAATCTTTCTAATAGATTTCAATATGTAGTTGATAATAATAATTCCTCCAATTTTTCTTCTATTACATGGCGTACCACAAGGTTCTATCCTAGGTCCTCTACTGTTTTTTAAGTCGGCAAAAAACTAGTCGGCAAAAAAAAAAGTTTTTTTAGGCCGAAAAAGAGGGGTGCGGTTAATACACGAGGGCGGTTTATACAAGGTTAATTACGGTACTTTAGAAATAGCTACTTTTAAAATGGCTGCTTTTGCCTAATATCATTGTGTTCACAAGTTTAGTGACAGCTAAAGCTATCAAGGGGCCATGATGCCCACCCCCCCCCCCCCATAACACTTACCAAATCACCAAATCTTTTTAGGGTTACATGAAGTCATATCAGAATGTGATATTAGTATTAAAGCTCGTCTGCACTAGTTTGGCCAGGGGGATTAGACCTCCCTGCAAGGTCACTGACAGGCGGTTATCTCATCAACTAACATAAGAAAAAGGGGATCATGGGGGACCAACAGGCACTGATTAGGCATTGTTTGCTATATAGAGGGCCCAAGTAGTGCAGTGGGGATTTAAAAGAACCAGTTCCACCAACCTTGCAGAGTCTCATCTTGTTTGATTCCTAGGCAGCTTCTGTGATACCACTCGTATCTCTTGCATCTGTCTGCTAGATGACACTGGATCATTTCATTCTCCCTTAACAGGCCATGCTTCCTGTGGCAGATGCAGTAGATGTAGTAATCACTTCGTGCACATTCTGGGCTGCAGAACCAGTCCGTGTCAGGATCAGGAGCTTGTGTAAGTCCAACACAGTCAAGATGGAACCATGAATGCTTGCATGTTCTGCTGCAGCACTTTAACATGTTACCAGTGTTTTCTGAAGAGATAAGAAATAAGAAAATAGAATACAAAAGGGTTCAAAATTTCAAGTGTTTCTGTCAGTGTTCCCTTTTAACTACATGTAGTTGTATTTTCATTATTTAATGTGGTAGAAAAATGTGTAAATAATTCTATTTGACCTATATAAACTTTGTTTTAATGAGTTTTCAATGAATTCTAACATCTCAGTATTTGATGCCAGGAAAATTTTAGTATATCATTCACTACATTAAGATGAAAAGCTAAAAAGTTTCAATAATCATACACATCATTTTAAGTCGGTATATTTTAACAATAATTTATACTAAAGCCTAAATAACTTGTACCATTTGGGACGTACCTTCAATTTGCCCTAAAAGTTTAAATCTCTTCACAGAAATATCAGAGATAATAAACAAAACAAACCATCAACTAATGAGGAGAGCCTCCTACAGAAACTCAGTTTCTTTTGGTAATCGTCAGGCATTAGTTGATGGCTTTTTTCCTGTTATTGTATTTATTATTATAATTCCTTTTCTTGTGCTCTTTGTTATTGTTATACTCCTCTATATTCCTGAAAATGAAAATGAAAAAAATAAAAATAAAAAATAAATAAACAATTTACCTGAGTGGCAAACACAGTTATAAAGGGCCGACTCTGGTAGATCATTGGCAGCCTCAGAGAATGCTTCTGCAGCTACATGGACATCTGCTTGGTCAGGACTAGTCCAACAGAAGTCCACGACTTGGTGTGACAGTTGGTCAATCCAACTTATTTGTTCATTAAGCTTTCTGTAGTTAGTTGGAAGACCTTCTGGGATGTCATCCAGCTTCTTCATACCACATAATTTCATAGCGCAGAGCAGAACATGACCTTCTGTTGAGAACTGAATAAAAATAGATAGACATGAGTGGGCATTAGGTGCCAAAGGCCCTTAAAGTTACTTATTTATCATTTAGCAGTTTTTCACATGTGTAAATAGACATTCACCCTGTGCATCTACCAGGCTATTTATCAAACCCAAACAAACTTCAGGAAGTTGAAAACAAAATATTGTGTTTCTTTAAAGTGACTCGGTAACATTGTTGAAGGTTGATGAAAAAATTTGCTTAATTTTTGTATAAAATGTTACTTACTATATTCCTTCTACTATACTAATCCTCTGACATGCAAAAAAATCCTGAACAAATTCTCAAACCACAAAGATATCTATGGTTTTCTTTGAAGGCGTCGATGTGAGGCACCCTCTAACAGTGATTAACAGTAAATTCTCCCAACCATTTTTGAATTTTCCCAACCGTTTTTCCATGATAAAACAGGCTATAAAAATCTGTCAACACTTAACTGTCTGGAATGGAATGTAGAGCCATTTTATTGCTTTGTGACGATTAAAATTCACCTAAAATGTAATTAAATTGTCCTTGTCTTGATGCTGAACAGGCTTTGACAAGTAGTAGAATAGAAGTAGAATAATATAGTTGGGAGAATTAAGGAATCGATCAGATCAGTTTTTCCCAATTTGTACCATGAATAATGATCCGTTTTCACTCAAATTTTCAGATTATCTTTAATTGTACATCTAGCATTGAAGTCACTACCTTAGCACCACTATCTCTCATCTGAACAATCTTACCAAGTCCCTTTAAAGAGACAGTGTATACATCACACTTTTGATGGAAAGTGCACTTCATCCATCTATTTGTTATCTTGTCTGGCTTAAAGAAGCCGTCATTGCCTTTATTGACCAATTGTTGTTAGAAAGCAGTCTACAGCAATCTGAGCAGTTCTTGCAAATATTAAAACCAATCCTGGGCAAAAAATATTTGATGATGTTGTTTGTTTGGAAAGGGTCAGAAGGGGTGCAAGGCGGGGGGAGGGAGGGGGGGGGGGGCGGTGCACAGTATCTTATGAAAGAGGACAGGGGCCACAATATCATTAAAACACATATAATACAAATGGAGATACAAGGGCCCTACATTAAGGGGCAGAGTGTATATTAAAAGGCAGGGGCAGACAGAGAGCACAGTGTTAAAGGGGGGGGGGGGCAGAAGACAGAGTAGTGGAAAAAGGGGGCAGGGGCATAATACATAAAATTTGGGGCGGGCAGAGGAATAGTAGGATGCCTTACAATACAGATAGGGGCACATGCACTGCAAAAATTATACAAAGGGGCTATGGGCACAGTGCTATTACAGGCAGGATGCACCTCAATTTTGTTTGGGGGGAGGGAAAGGGGAATGTGCATCATTACTCTAAAACGGTGCAAGGGGCATAACATTGCCCTAGCAGGGGATGGGGCATAGGCCATATTTAGGTTTACCCCAAAATGCAGCCAAGAGGCAGAATATCATAAAGGGGCTGTTAGGGCTGGGCGTAGTACCCGAACCAATGGAGGGGGTCGTTGCCACAGAGGATTCAATGCTGCTATGTACAGGCTTGAGAAATCTCAGGAGATCATGGCGTGATGACATGAGATTGCGCTACATAACAGCATTAAGTCCTCTTGTGTAATTAATATAGGCAGGTTGATGGATATATTGAAACTACAAATGTAGGCCCTATTCCAGGGGGGGAGGGGCACTCAGATTTTTTGACGGGGGTGTGCCTCAGTTAACCCGTCTGTCCAATACATTGAGTGCCCCCCACCCTTTGGGGCCCTACTTGTAAAGTATCCATCAAGGCACTGATGTTCTTATTGTTTATGCAATAGATGATGTTGCCATGTATGATCATTTATCATTTCAAATTAAAATTGACATTATACTTTCATACCAATTGAGTATCATTATGACTTATACAAATAATTAAACAAATATGCATTTTTACCTGGTACAGCTCCAATACAAAGTCATGTTGGGAAGACCTGATGATATCACTAGAGAAGCTCTTATGGTTGAAATTGTTCTTTAGCTGGGCTATGGTTCCTCTTTCTGTCAGGCTCGCACCAATGTAGAACTTTTTGTTGGAGTCCTATTGTATAATTGGATGTGGAATAGAGAAGCCGAATATTTAGAAAGACTTGGAACAAAAGCCATCTCCCCATACATATCTACTATAAAATCTTGCCGGTAGTTAATAGTGTACAGACCCTTTGCACTCTCCACACAAACAGTATGTGTGTCTCTGCCATCCTACATGGTCTTTCCACCCTCGGCAGGCACTCTCCTCACAAACTACATGTATGAGGCAATGTGGAAAGGGGGGGGGGGGATGCACAGTACTAGGCCTACATTTGCTAAGGGGCAAAAGGAAAGAGAGAGAGAAAAAGAAACAAAAAGGGGTCGTTTGCTCACTCCTCCCCCCCCCCCCCCCCCCCCCCCCCCCCCCCTCCGTGGAGGGGCCCCTGACGCGGTTTACCATGTAGGCTACTGTATATCTTTATTTAATTCAAATTGGATGGATGGCAGATCTTTGGCACTTACCTGCAAGTGAAGCCTTTCTTTATGGAATTCTTGAGGACATGCATGGAATCCTTCCAAACGATCGTCCCACTCCTCTCCATTGCTCCTTGCTCTTTGAGCATTCAGGATCCTCTCTATTGTCAGGCTATCACCATTGAGAAGACATGGCACAGGTTTCCCTTCCACCACAGGGACATACTGCTGCAGATTCTCCATCACTCGGATCATCCCTTGAGTTGTGCTTGGATCTGCATCCACAACACCTAGTGTCACCTGTTAAACATAAACATACATGACTATAAAATGCGACCTTCTAATTCGCATCAGGATATTACCTGTTATTAATTGTAAGTTCTTGAATGAAAACTATGTTGATTTAACTCCCGGGAGCTCCGGGAAAAGAAAGAAAGAAAGTTCATTTAAAAGAGATATCATAACATATATAGAAAATACACAGTAGGCTTGGGGGTGCACCATGTGAGAGAGAGAGAGAGAGGATTGAGGATTAAGGAAGGCAGACACTTACAAGCAGCATATATAGAAAAGAAATAAATACAAATTATATCAATATTTGAATAGTTCAGTGATCTAAAGGAAAGAGAGAATAAGTGACAATATTGTACGTAACATGTAGAAGGAGTAGCCTAGAGAGAGAGAGAGAGATGAGAGAGAAAGAGAAATAAAGGCAAACGAGGAGTGGAGAGTCAAAGTGACAAAAGTGAAATATATATATATTGAAAAAAGAACGGGGACAGAAGTAGAAAGATAATGGCCCGAATTCACAAAGAAGGTATGTCGACAAACCTTGGTTTTCGTACGTCATATGACGCGTTTTTACGCGTTTTTTACAAACCTGGTTTGTAAATACGTGTCGAAACTAGTCGAAACGCGTCACAAGACGCACGAAAACCACGGTTTGTCGACATACCTCCTTTGTGAATTTGGACCAATGAGTGTAAAGTACAAGTTTTGACTATCACTCGTCAACTTACACATTCAGATTTTGCCTGCATATCTTTGGTGTGCTTGTGGAGGAGCCTTTGGGGCACTTTGTCTTTGAGATATTGAAGTTCAGGAATGTATTCTAGAAGTATCCTGCGAACAATGAATGTGGCCCTCTCTCGCTGCCTTTCCAGGACTTCCGGGGATGGGAGGAAGGTGTATGGGTCCAGCTGCGATGCAGGTACTTGGTTCTTTGTACTGCCTGTTGTAATCCTGTCCTTGACAGCGAAACTCATTGTTTGAAGCAAGGTTGTGTTTGTCTGTCCATTCCTCTGGTATTTCCCTTGCTTACTTACAACTTTACATACTTGTATGTTATCACAACAGAAACTATAATTTGGACGGACGTGGTAGTTCAGCCTCCTTCTTGCTTCGATCCTCCTCTCCTGAAAATGTAATCAGACAAATCATTCACTTTTCTCTCTCTCTCTCTCTCTATTTATCAGGTCTCACTTTATTTAAAGTGTCATATTTTTGTTCTCAAATCAAAACTAGTAAGGCACATTAATGGAAGAACTTTAAAGAAAAAAATGAGACATAATTTTTTTTTAAATCAGTATTGTTTAAACAAATCATTGGTTATGAGTAACATAATAAAGTGAATAACTCGGATTGAAATTTTAAAAATTCAATCAAGTCAAAACTCATTTATTTTGTTAACTAGATTTTTTTAAATGGGAAATTGAGTCTCAATAATTGTGAAAAGACAGTAAGCAGCACCGTTGACATGGAAGCAAGGGAGGTGAGAAAATTTGATATCATTGCTTTCAAAATCCCGGATAGCGATAGTGCCGATGGAAAAAGAAAACTTACTTCCGCCGTGCGTTTCCATTCCCACAGTTGCTTGTCATGGGATTTACTGATTTCCTCCACTTTGCATTTGGACGCTTGGATGCCTTGGGTGATACCCATGTGGTTTAGTGTAAGAAAGACGTTGCGACTGACTCTCTGTCTCCATAACTCTATTCCAACACAACCTTGCACAAATGAGTATTTAAGTCTTGACCTTTGGTGGAGAATCGTGGAAAGCAAGTGTCCCACTTTTCGGCATCTGAGAGAGACGGCTTCATCATGGTCTAGATTCCTGGGAAAAAAAGAAAAAACGTATCAAACAATTAGTGAAATTACAGGAGTTTTGATATGGGGTTATCCATATATACTTTTGTTAATTGTCTTTATTATTCATCGCAAACACATACTTCTTCATAGGGCTTATAGTACATACCAGTATATCATTTTGATAGTGCCTTACTTTAAGTATACATGTACCGTATCATGAAAGCATTCGCTTGGACATGCAATGCTGAAATTCATATAATTAATTACTGTAAACATCAGAATCAACATTGGCCTAAATTTAATTCAGGATCATACTGGAATTTTTAAAAAAAGGAAAAACAAAACAAAAAGCAAAATAAACAAACAATAATATTATTTAATCGATCATGATACATGAACTTCCTAATTGTAAAGAAAACACCCAGTTTTTTTTTGAAAGAAATACCTTTTAGTTCTGTTACTTCGGCCTGCCCCTATGCAAATGTATTCATGGCGCATTGTCGCCTTCAGCGAAGGCATCATAGTCTCGATACAGCGGACAGTTGCTGGAACAGCATCTTTTGCTTCTTTACATGCTTGGGCCCATGAGAATGCCTTAATTGCCTCTGAAGATACCTCCTGTGAAAACGAAGGTATTCTCTTGGCCTCTCTCAACTATATATTCATGAGGGACAAAAATGATAGAACTAGTGACAGTGTGCAATGGCATTTAATGTTAGGCACCATTTTAATCATTGTTACTTATAAAGAAGGAGATGATTCAGGGTCTGTGAAAGGTGATGGGAGTGGACACAACATTCAGAAAATTTAATGAAGCAAATGCTCCCCACGAAACTATATGACATTATAGGCCTACTACCCCAGTGAGCCAGTCAGGAGTCATTATGACTGGCGTACATTCGGGGGTATACATGTAATACCCCCACATCATCTCAGGGCGGATGACATGTACAGTAATGCCTACCCCCATTTTCCAAGGAAAAAAATATTTTCATATCAGTGACTTATTGATAAACTTAAAATTATCATGATTATATACGAGTGCTGTGAGCACTGTAATTGGTTGCCCAGCTAATAAGCAGGGATAATATTATTGAGCACCACATTTGGTGGATATGTGCGTTATATAAATATTAGGCCAAATAAAAAAAAAATATATGTTTAGCGCCCTGTTTTTTAGAAAAATAGGAAGGAGGAGGCCCTTTTTTTTTCTTTCAAAATGGCCACTGGGTACATTTTCCCTGTATTCGGGCTATTTTTTAAGATGGCCGCCGACATTTTTTTTTTTAAATCAGAAATAGATCCATTTTAGCAGTGTTTTTTATGTTTTTTTTTATTTAAAAAAAAAAAAAAAAAAAAAAAGAAAAGAAAAACAAAGCAAATTTAAAGTGAAATTAGATTTAGAGGAAATCACCCCAAGATAATCATAATTATTAATAGTAATAGCTTGTAAGAAGTCTGATTTCTTAAATAACATAAGTCATATATAAGGTAAAAGGAGAAAGACAATCATTTATGGTTAAAATTTTAAGTTTGGAGCTTTTATACCTTTGACAAAAGGGGCTGTTTTAGAACATTAAAGACACCCTTTACCTGTGTTTTATCTACACGTATGTCCCTCCCCCTTGCAAAAATTAAAAATGTTTTTAAAATCGGGGGGGGGGGGGGGGGGGGGGGTGGATACTCCTTTTTTTCCCCTCACCCTCCAACCCCCGCCCCCCCCCCCCTGATTTTAAAACATTTTTTTTGCCAAGGGGGGGGGGGGGGGGGGTCATAGATAAAACACAGTTAAAGGGTGTCTTTAAAAAATAACACCCCCTTTTGCCGTTTACCCAAAACACCCCTCCCCCCTGATACGTCAATGAGTAGTACGTTCTAAGTAGCTCAGCATCATTTGTCTTATTCAATAATTAATTAATAAGAGTTCAGCAACAGCTGTTTGAGCTTACACTTACATTCTAATTTTAAAATTTAAAGGGCAAGTCCACTTCAAAAATAACTTACTTTCAATAGAAGCAGAAAAATCTGACAAACCAATCAAAAAAAGTTTGAGGAAAATCAGATAACTAAATAAGAAAGTTATGAATTTTTAGTAACATAAAAAACTTTAAAGTCACTACACAAATTGGCAACCCACTCACAAGTCTGTGACGTCATGTCCTCACTATACACTTATTATTCTTTATATAATATAAATTTCCTTTTGCCCCCTAAGAATCTAATTATTTCTTCACACCAGCATCAAAGATTGATGTTTTTGTGTAGATGCAATATAGAGTACAGTTTTTCCAGTTAAATCATGAAAAATGTGAATTCTGATAAACTATATTTATATAAAAATCAATCATTATGTATAGACTATACAATATTCAGAAAATAATATAAATTCTCCAAAGTTCATAATAGATTTTGTGAAATGTAATGCAAGCAATGTGGTACGAATTGTATGACATGGGCAAATTAATTAAGGCATTAGGCATGGCCGGGGAAATCAAGTTTTGGGGGATAAAAAGGGAAATTAATGGGATTAAACTAAAGCAATTAAACAAATAGTGAGGACATGACGTCACAAACTGATAACCAAATTGGCAATTCGAGTAGTGATTTTCATTGTTCCACAGAGTTTTACATGTACATACTTTTTCAAAAATTCATAACTTAATTTTTATTTTAATAAAAAATAGTAGTTACATGTATCCAATTTTGCTCAAACTTTTTTTGATCGGTTTATCTGATTTTTCTGCTTCTATTGAAATGAAGTTATTTTTGGAGTGGACTTGTATTTTAATCTCATCTACTACCGTTATTTAATTTACTCTTCCATTTTATTTTTCAAAAACAAGGGGAAACGTTTTTAGTCTTACCTCGCTCTTAAGAATTTCACAAGTAGCCTCCACCAAGGCTATTTTGGCATCTTCTGATAATTTGTAAAGAGCACGGAATGCTCTCAGGTATTGTTTTTTGTCAAGGTATGTTTTAATCTTTTCCTGGGGGTCAATAGGAGAGTCTCCTGACGTTTCAGGCTCATCCTCTCCAACATGGTGCTCATCTTGATCCTGAGGTTCTCTGACCAGCTCTCTGCTTGTCTCTGACTCTGCATCTTCTCGCTTGCGTTTGGGAGGCGGTGTTGTTGGAGGCGAACGATACGTCCGTTTATTCCTGTTCGTCTTTGTGGGGGCTCTTTTGTTTCTAACAGTATGTTTAATCAACTTATATTTGCATACATCGCAAATGTAGCTGTACGGATCGATGTCTTCTCTGTGAAAAACTTTACTTATAGTTCTAGGACTTGTTATTTTAATAATCTGTTTTCTTCTAAAACCTTTTCTATTTTTAACAAAGTACACTGAACAAATTGCACATTGCCGCTGGTTGACAGGCTGGTCGATGATACCAGCGCTACAGCTATCCATGTTTTGTGCTCAGCTAGCTCTCTTGATCTAGACCTAGATCTAGGCCTAGATTACATCTTACAAGTACAAAGTACATTGTAGCTCTCAGCTTCAAGTCCCACATCATGACATGCAGATCGAGTCTATCTATCGGCAATGAGCAATATTGTTGACTTCAATTCATCAAAGTCATCTCCCGTTCAAATTCCCGATCTTGTATCATCTCGATCTGGTGTCAATATTTTTTACGCAAGGAATATAGTCCTGCAGTTTGTCAGCTATCACCATTGAAGCCCAGATGATAGATCTCCTGCAAAAGTCTTCCTGACCCAAGTCAGGCTTATCTTGTCAGGATCAGGAAGGCAGCTGATCTGATGCTGATGATTGCTGCATGCTGCCGCGTGCCGTCTTTGTCGGGAAGAGCGAGAGGATGTTGAGCACCTTGTTGCATAACCTAAACACAAAACAGTTTGCACAATAGTCAATAGGCCTACTTTCGAGTCTGTCCCTGCGCTGTTCTTGGAGTCGCGTCGGTGCTCTCCCTCCTGGACCCATCAGCAACTACCTAGTGCCAAACTACACAGCTGGCCAGCTGCATTATCCTACTCCTACTCACACAATAATGTCACAAGTTACAGCCCGTCAAAATCTATGTAACAGTTAAGGGCCGGGCCCGACCTGTAGAATCCATTTATGGAACTTTGGCAGACTTACAATACAGTGACGACGATCTCTTACTTGAGGGGAGATGAGGATCTAGGAGTAGATCTAACGTTAGGAGGAAGGACAAGAGAGAGAGATTGTGCACGTTTTGTGAATTAATAATGTCCCTCATTGGCCTTCCATACTCCGCCTCCGAACGAACGAACGAACGAACACTCAACAAATACAATTTTCTGCTTCTTTACGTAAGTAAATGTCGAGAGTGCATGTAATTAATAGGTTACAGCCTGGTAAACATTAGGAAAATATTTAGTAGCTTCATACAAATGAAAGTTCTAAACCTTTGTTTTCTATGCTGGTTTTTCCAAATCCCCGCCTCGGCTCACAGACACCATGCCATCCATGCATGTGCGAGCGTGCATGCAGCGAACACGGCCAGTCGAGTTGGGCATCCGGCAGCTAGGGGCAGCGCCAGGGCGCCCCGGCCCCCCCCCCCCCCCCCCACTCAGGTTTCGAAATGACCGCATGCGTGTTGCCAAAATGTCCGGTAAAGGGGTACTTTTCGTGCGACAAAGTCCGGCCCGAGAAATGTAAAAAAAGGGGGTGTATTTGACTTTCACCCGGAGATTTCTTTAGTAGGGTGTCTGATCGCGCACCCGATGTTGTGTGCTAAAATCTTTCCCATAGAGATTGCACACATCCCTATGTGGTCTACATGCATTGCGCGACCAAGCAAAATTGGTCAATGGTTTTATGAAAAATTTGAAATTCAAACCTTTATAACAAATGATCCTGAAGGTGAAACTCAATAAATGTGGTGTCATATGAAAGAGCAGGTTTTTCTCCATATTCCCCATAGGGGGCCACCCCCGGAATTCTAAAAATATCTTGCTCAAAACAGCGATTTAAACATCGTTTCCATGGTAACTCGGAGATTTACCAATTTCACTAACTGCTCCCCCGAGGGATAAGTTGGGCCAGCTGTAAAGAATATATCCATGCACTTATTTTTTCTCTAGTCCCAAGGGATCATTTGTTACAACAGTTTGAAAATACCCTTGCTCCACACTTTGCATATCGTGCTGTGCATTAGCTGTGCAGCTTTTGAGCAGAAATTATAACTCTGCGTGAACCACTTTTCTGTCCATTCTGACCAAAATGCTATGAATATTGCACAATTTTTGAGGGGCTGTATCTTTTGATAGAAACATCGGTGAGTCTTGAAATTTGAAAGGTATTATTCTGATTACATTTGTTATTCCAATATCAAACAAAAATGGTGAAAAACGATCCCAAATTGAAAATTGAAAAATCGTTCAGACACCCTATCTTTAGAAAGGGGGTGTTTTTCTCTCATCTCTTTGAAATTAAAAAAGATGGTTATAGTCTAGTCTAGATTAAAATATCTTGAAGTTGAACATAGTCTAGATCTAGCCTAGGCTAGAAAAATTGATGAAATCCCGCGATCAGATTTCAGAAATTCCTGCTAGGCCTAGTTTTGAAAGCTCATTCAGGATTATTTCATGAGACTATTTATGACAAGTAAAAACATTGAGTCCCATGCACTCCCGTCCCAGTACGGCGGCAGTACGGACTTCTCAAAATCTGTGTGAGAGAGAGAGAGAGAGAGAGATAACAACAGAACGTATAGTCTATACGGCGCATCCGCTAGCTGCACGCTCAGCATGCATATCAGGCTAGGGTCGGCATCAAGCCGGGGCATCAAGATGGGGTATGAGGCGTGGGCCCTGCCAAAATTGTCATGATTGGGACGTCTTTGAGCAGGACCCACAGTCTCCTCGTTGTGGATATTGGGGCTGTCTACCTGTGGCTCACAGGGTGGCACATTCAGGTGAGTAGTTTGCCCTATAGTTTGGTCACAATAGTAGCACTTTCAAACTCATTTTCCTACACCCATGAAAATGAATATGTGGGACTTGGATCTAGATTTATGTAGTTTTGTACTGTAGTGTAGGCTACCCTAATTCACACACAGTCACAGCTGCATTAGTAATAGGTCTACTATCCTGGCTGTGTATTAAAGGGATCGCTTAACAATGTTAAATCTGAGATGCAAGGCCCTACATGTTATCAGTGTCTGTGATATGGTGTAATATTGAAGCCCTAAAAAAAATTGTGCTTCAAAATGATCAAGAAGAACTTGAAGAACTTAAAGAAGGGCCAAACAGTAATGACAGCTTATCTGAGATGAGAGGGGGGAGGGGGGGTCTGCATGTCCTGAGATAGGGGGTACATTGAGCAGCGTTCCGGATTTAGGGGGGTCTCCAAGGCAGGAAAAGCCCGTGAAAAGCCCGCGAAAGGGGGGTTCGGAAATGTTGGCAGTGCTCAGATAGGGGGTCTTTTCAAAAAGAGGGTACAAGCATACGCGTACCCTAAATAACACTGAGTGGGGGGGGGGGCCGGGCAGGGCGCGCGGCGGCTTCTTCTAATTCTGCACTTAACAGGCAAAACGCCGCCCCCACGGTTTCTTCGCCTAACGCGGTCCATATAGGATCAACGTAATGCGCATGCGCTAGATGTAAGCTAAAGTTCTTCTTCTTCTTCTTCTTCTTTGGGTTAAGTCTACCTCCTTCACAGTTGAAGATTCTTGCAGACTGATGAGTGTGTGTGTGCTTACGAGAGCAAGGTGCATGGTGCAATGCTATTTACATGGTGCAAGTAAAAAGTTCCCGGACTTAGTTGCTGCCTCCCGTCAGGCATTGACGGATGAGGCACATACTGTTTCTGATGGCAGGTTGTTCCAACTCCTCACAGTCCTGGGAAAGAAGGACTGCTTATGCTGCTCAGTTCTTGAACGGAGGACTTGGTAGCTATGTGCATAGGCAGTCCTGGAGGGTCTTGTGACAGGGTTGATGTAGGATGCTGTGTCGAGTGCTACAAGGTTGTTGTGGAGCTTGTACATATCATCACCAGTCTGTAGTTTTCTCTGCGTTGCTCGAGTGTGGTCCAGTCAAGTTGTTGGAGCAATTAGGTCACGCTAGATGTGTTGTGGTACCGATTGAGGGTGAATCTAGCGGCCCGTCTTTGTACCATTTCTATTTGATGGATGTGGTTTGCAGAGGAAGGATCCCAAACTGTAGAACTGTACTCAATGAGTGGTCTTACTAGAGCTTTGTAGGCAGTACTCTTCAGTTTTGGTGAGTTGATCCGAAGATTTCGTCTGAGGAAGGCAAGGGTGTTGTTTGCTTTCTGGCATATGCCTGTGATGTGTTTGTCCCATTTCAAGTCTGATGTGATTGTGATGCCTAGGTACTTGGTTGATGAGACTGCTTCCAGTGGTGTGTTGTTCAAGATGTACTGGTGTCGTATCTGGCTCTTCTTTCTGGACACTGTGATGGTCTTGCACTTGTCCGTGTTGAGCTCCATCATCCATTCAGAGGACCATTCAGCAAGCCTATTAAGGTCCTCCTGTAGTTCAAGAGGGTCTTGTCTGCCCTTGATCGCTAGGTAGATGATGGCGTCGTCTGCAAAGAGACGTACTGGAGAGGTGAGCTTGTCTGGTAGGTCGTTGATGTAGTACAGGAATAGAGAGGGTCCGAGGACAGAGCCTTGAGGTACTCCTGAGTCGACGTCAACCTTAGGTGATGCATGGCCTTCTAGAACAACTTGCTGGGTTCGATGGTGAAGAAAGTTGGTGATCCACCTGTTGCTTTTGCCTCTCACTCCATAGTGGTCCATCTTGTGCATTAGTCTCTGGTGACCGACCTTGTCAAAGGCTTTGCTGAAGTCCATGACAAGGACATCAGTTTGCAGACCTAGCTCCATGTTCTTGTGGAGGTCACTAACGAATCCCAGTAGTTGTTGCTCGCAGGATCTCTTAGGTCGGAACCCATGTTGGAGGGGGTGGAGGATGTCCTTTTCATCGCCATGCCTCATGATGCTACTTGCAAGGATGTGCTCCATCATCTTGCAGCAGATACATGTGAGGGAGATTGGGCGATAGTTGCTAGGATCGGTTCTGTCGCCTTTCTTGTAGACAGGCACCACGTTTGCTTTGTGCAAGTCATCTGGTATCTCGCCGGTGTCATACGAGAGTCTGTAGATGATGCGTAAGATGGGAGCGATGACTCTGGATAGCTGCTTCAGGATGCGTGGGGTGATCCCATCGGGCCCTGGCGCTTTATGTGGTTTGAGTTTCTTAAGCATCATCTCGATACCCTTCAGGGTTATCACTATGTCAGGCATCGATTCGTATCTGGCAACAGATGAGGAGGGATTGGAATTTCCTGGGTAAAAACCTTCTTGAACTGTCTATTCAGGGCATTAGCTTTCTCAGCAGGTTCACTGAATAGCACGCCGTCAGATTTGAGTTCCGCAATTCCAGCACTGTCAGTTCTGTTATTCTTGATGAATTGCCAGAATCTCTTCATGTAGTTGTACTTCCCTGGTCCTTCGTCATCATCTTCAACAGTAAAGATGGACTCGACATAGTTCCAGTAAGCTTTCCTGAGTGCGAATTGGAGTGTTCTTTTGAGATCACGGAGCCGCTCTTCCAGAGCATATGGAATGAGGCCCTCTCTCTTCCGGAGGTGTCTGCACTCGTTGCTCAGTCTGTCACGTTTCTTGATGAGTCGTCTGATGCCATTTGTCACCCATGGTAAGTTGGCTTTGTGTGGAGTCAGCTTTTGAGGAATGAAGTCATTGATGCCCTTCTCGATGCCAGTCTTGAAGATGAGCCATAGTTCATTCATAGAGGCATATGTTACTTTAGCTTCTATCTCATCTCTGACTGCTTCCATGCTCTCACCAAACTTCTCCCACTGAGCTTTGCTGTAGAGTAAAACTTTCCTCCGCATCTGGTGCCGCCTGGTTGGTCTCACATCTAGCTTGACGAGAGGGCAATCATGGTCAGACACTCCTGGGACAACGGTAACCTCATTGACTACAGTTGGATTACTGACAAGGAGTAAGTCAAGTGTGTTCTGGTATCTGGTTGGTTCAGTAACTACTTGGGTGAGACCGTGGTCATCAAGGAGAGATCCCAGTCTGCGATGGAGATTGGGATATCTGCAATTGCCGACTTGTTGGTTTCTCCAATCCCATCCCGGTAAGTTTAAATCACCGCCTATTACAACAGAGTGGGTGGGGCTCAGTCTTGACAAGGACCTTTCGAGCTCTGTGAGGCTCATTTCATCTCCCTCGTGGGGCCTGTAGAAGGCAGCAACATGGAGAGTCTTGGCTCCTGGCATGCTGATCTTGCACCAAATGAGCTCGCAGTCAGTTTCTAGTTCAATTTCTCTGGATGCCAAAAGATCCTTCCTGATCGCAAGAAAAACACCGCCATGGGGATCGTTGGGTCTATCCCTTCTTTCAATGTTGTAGTGGTCAGTGGGGAACACTTCACTACTGCGTATGTCTTCCGTCAGCCAGGATTCAGTCCCTATTACTACATCTGGATTGTGTTGATGTATAAGAATTGCAAATGACTGCTTCTTAGCGCGAATACTCTGGCAGTTTACGTTGAGTATTGTTAAGACTTTTGCCTTTGGCTTTGTCGGGTTGTTGGGTTTCTTTTTCGATGTTCTGGGTGAGGAGGAGAACTTTGGTGATCCAAGGCATAGTGAGTCATCACTTTCGCCTTCATCCTTGCTGTCATTTGTAGTGCATGATTCAATGTCAGTGTGGTTCAAATAGCTGAACAGATTTTGGCTGCTGAGGTTGCTACTGAAGGCACTGGGAAGGAGTAGATCTGACCTGCTGATATTGTGTACTCCACAGATGTTGCAGATCCACACAATTGAGCTGGTGCCTAGGGCACTGTAGTCTGTAGAGTTAAAGTTAATACACTCTGCATGGAACCACTGTTCACATTCACCTTCACACTGAATGCCCTTTGACTTCCAAGCCACATTTTTCCCACAGTATGGAAATTTAGGTTTCTTGGGCATGTTAATTCAATCAACTCATAGTGGAGAAAGGAATGTAATAATAATAATACATTACAGTATTGACCATGGTTGCCAGTTGTACAGTGTAGAACTAGAAGCTAGGTGGATTCCCTGTACATGTCTGTACATGTATGACTGTAGCCCATGTGAAAGCTGTAGACATATGGCACTCTTAATGAAATGAGTGGCAAAATCTAGCTTAGATTTCAGTTGACAGAATTGGTCCAAAAGAACATAAAATTCAATCTGCCATGAGAAGGAAGGGTGAAATCCCTAAATTCATGAAGAAATTCCAGATAAAGACATCCCAGGGTGTCGGTGTAGGCAGTTACCAGGAAGCATTTGCAGTGTACATCCGACTCCCGCGACACACACACACACAGTCAAGTTAAGTTCTACGGTATGTGCTGTGTGAGAGTTAAGGCATTTTGTATGATTTTAGACAAATTTATGAAAGATAAATTACATTTCGATTTAGATAAGATGTCCCAGGCCCAGTTCACATTGTTGTCCCTGCATGTGTGCATGTGTACATGTAATACAATACTTAAATTAAAGCCCCACTCTCCTACTTGTAGCTACTTGCTCCCTCTGTATAGAAAACTTCCCCAATCGGTGCCTGTTGGTCCCCCGTGATCCTCTTTTTCTTATGTTAGTTGAGAGCTGAGTTAATGAGATAGCCACCTGTCAGTGACCTCGCTGTGTGGTCTTATCCCTTCTGGCCCAGTAGTATTGAAGGTGTTTAATAGCATGGACCTTTTAGAAAATCCGTCTTCTTCAAATTTACTGCATCACCTGTTTTACAAGGGAGTTCATCATTATTTTTTTATTTCTATGAACAGGGGGTTGAGAGTCTATGCTGCATTTATATTCAGCACATTGATATGCGGATAGCAGCATCCTTACTAAGCCAGGGTCAGCCAGGGTCAGACCAATGATCTTTCTATCCATTTGGAGCAGAGCATTGGCAGGACACTCTCTTCATCTCTCTCCTGTTATACCCAACATTCGAACATCAACCAAACAATTTTTGAAGGTAATATCTTATCTTTGATTATAGATCTGTCATTATGTCATTATACCCATTTTCTTTTGACTCATCAATCGCTTCAGAGTTTGTAATCTATCTTCTATTTGGGAAGAAAGTCCTAGGGGAGTAAATGAAGCTAAATTACAATCATGCTTTCATTTCTCTGTTTAATATTGTTTCAATATACTATAGTTTAATTTCAGGGGGGGGGGGGTACTCACATATTAAGACTTCCGGGGGTGTGCTGCTCTAATGGGTCACTTTTCTCTAAAAACTTCTAAACGTTGGACCTTTTTTTTTTTATCTGCAAAAATTTCGGCAAACACCAAATATTGTGAAAAATAGGCTTTATACTTCAAGAAAAGTCCCCCAAAATGACCTTTAGAAATGGGTAGGGGTTTTGAGGCTTTAGCAGCACACCCCAGTGGCCCCGTCCAAACTAAATCTTAGTATCCCCCCTGGTTTAAATCCTTAGTTCCTATTTTAACATTAACATAAGCCGCAATCTGAATGACCCAAGAAATGTATTTTTATTGTGTTTTTTATTTTTCTTCAAGAAATCTGAAGGAGTGTCCCAAATCGCCAAGCTGTTCCATTGTGATCAGAGGAGATCACGTCCAATCAACATGTCTGAAGATGAAGGGAAGGAAGAGCCTGCAATTGTAGAGGAAGGGAGAGCTAGGATCGTTTTCCCAAATCCCAATGAGGTGTTTTACAATCCTGCACAAGTCATCAATCGAGATCTTAGGTGAGCATTCCAGGTAGATTTTTTAACCCAATGAGTACTGAATATCCTTATTCCCATAGACTTTATACAGGGGCTACCTTGTTCCCTGGCAATGGCTAACAATCGTTAAATTTAGAGGATTTGGCTTGGAGGTTAGCATTCCACGGAGCCCGTTTCATAAAACTTTTTATCTATAACAAATGCTAAATTTCTATGACAAATTTGTTCTGAGCCAATCAGATGCCATGATCTCAGTAGCTTATAACAGTAGCTTGTAACTTGTTATTGATATCAAGTTTTCTGAAACAGGGCCCAGGACACAGCCATTTGTTTCTTACTGAAAACATATAATACATCGATTGACAGTATCCATCCTTTAGGAATACTTTTTGCCCAACTTGATCTCGTTCAGTAAGGTTTGCTGTGTGTTGCATGATGACTAAGTGTACCATCTACAATACATGTAGATATATCTCAAGTTTGTCTCTATTTCATGGAGATTTCAAATTCTCTTGATTTATCATTGTATCATCATTAGGCCTAAAAAAAAGTGTTGTATTGCCCTTTGCAACCGACCCCAAAATCATGAAATCTACAGTCGGCTTTTAAAAAAAAGTTTTTTAGAGAAAAAAACTTATTACCATAAAGCATTCATAACTAATATATCAGCCCAAAGAGGGAGTAAAAAAAAAAAAAAAAATTGACCGACCGACCCATGTTTTGGCACCTTATGCAAGGGTCACTCTGTGGCCTGGACCCACCCTCCTCAGAGGTCGCCAAATATCGACGTCGACTCGACGCCTAAGCCTGACCCTGACCTATTTGTTGTTGTAGTGAAGTCCTAACGTTCGTTTTTCTTCATTGGGTGAAGCTTTACTATACAAATTGATGAAATGTGTGAAGCTTTGACGAGTAATTTGTTTTTTCTGGTGATGTGACATCGAATCCAATCGGTCGCCTTGTTTGTTCAGGTGATGTGACATCGAAGCCACTACCGGTCGCGTCGAAAATATGTCGAAATCATGTCGAAATCGTGCGTTTCAAAACAACTATTTAATTTTTATTCCGGTCACTCATGCACTCGCATGATTCATCAAAACCGTTTAGCATTTCTCGCTCCGGTTAACCGTTATTTGCATACATTTTGGAATGTGCTAATAGCCGATGATAAAGATAATCAAAGAAACCGCAGTGTAATATTACACCCTGGCCGCTGCGCGCTAGCTTTCTGGCAGCAGTTATCCCCATGAATGAATTTGTAAACAATAAAACAACCAGCCCCCTTCTCTCTTTTCTCACCCTCTTTATTCCCTTCTCTCTGCAATGTGTTCATCGCTCATGTACCTTTTCTTATTACTGCACTCTCAGCTCACAACTTTCTAAATGTTTACACATTCGATGGTCAGTTCCTCTCACATCCCTTCTCCCCCGAGTCTCTCTCTCTCTCTCTTTCAATATTAATATCCATCCCTTGCCGACTCGCCCCCTAAAATAATGTTCATATATAAATAAAATACAAAAATATTGATAACAATAATAATTGAAGTTTTAGAAATATCAATCAACAAAGTCTTGGATATTATTTGTGAGTAATTTAAGTTTTTGATCATTCTTCAATTCAGCCGATTAACACAGCCACCCTTTCTTACTTCGATCTTCACTCATGTCCCTGCCTCGTCCATGCTAGGGACATGCAGGGACATGCTAGCCCATATGCATGCTCTCTCAGTCACACACACATGTACACACAAACCTCCGGCGCCCAAATACACTGTACATACACACAGATGGAGAGCTCATGCTTGTCACATGCACACATGTGGGCGTGGCTTCTTGACCTCCCACTGAACTGGGTACGGTGAAAGCACGCGCGGTCACCAACCTGTAATTTATGCTGGTATCAAACTCCACCCACATAGCTAGAGAACCTTCCTGATTGGTCACTAACTTGGATCAGCTCATATTGCAGGGTGTGTCTTGGGTGTGTGTGATACACACTTCCACATAATTTCATATGGCAATGATACATGCAGGGAGCTCTCTCCCTGACCATGTGCAAACATTGCATTGCAAAGGCATATATAAACACGTCACAGATCAGCTATCTTCACAGAGTAACTTTGCAAGGTTAATCATGATATCAAATTCAGATGAGGAATAATAAGACATGTTTTATGTTGTTTATTACTGGTCTCTGTTTATCAGGATGACCCAATTTGTGCCATAGTCCGGGGCTGGGAATGCTCAGCCCGACAGTCTGAAGACCAGCAGGGTTCCGAGCTACAGCACTATTAAAAATACTGTATTTTCACTTTTTCAGATTATTATTAAACGGTTAAACGAAACCGCCCGTATACTTTTAACGGTTAACCGTTTAGCACAAAAACCGTAATGACTCAGGCTTAGGTGAAACAGTGGTGAAGCTTGAACTATGCAAATGGCCAGTATGGTGAAACAGTGGTGAAGCTTCAGACCGGCCGAAAACTTACAAAAGTGAAGCCTCACCTATGGAAAACTGACACAAGTGAAGCCTCACCTATGTAAAACTGACAAAAGTGAAGCATCACCTATGCAAATAATTCAAAGGGTGAAGCCTGGACTAACACATTTGCTGATAAGAGTGATGCTTTGCCTTTGTTTTTTGTAAAGCACATGAAGTGATGGTGAAACCCTGAGGTTACAAATAATTGGCTCAGGTGAAGAAAGGTGATGACCTGAGGAGGGTGGGTCCAGGCCACAGAGTGACCCTTGCATTAAAGGCAAAGCAACATCTTTTTTTTTTAGGTCTTATTGATGTTGTGATGGGTGAGAATATGTTGTAGATTGGAAATCATACACACTATTTATGTGATACTGATGACTTTTGTATTTTTTCTTTTTGTTCTAGTCTGGCAGTCACTGGATTGTTTGTAGAGGATTTCTTGCAGGGAAAAGAAATGAAAGGTAAGAGAAATACACTGTAGTCTGTACTCAGTATTTTTTTGATGGTACAGAAAATTTCAGATTTCCTATGATAAGATAATCTTCAATAATGTGTCATAGATATTTTGAATGAATCATATTTGAGCAGGCACTAAGTAATGATTGCACTGAGCATATCATTTTTATTTTTTTTTTTTATTTTAAAAGCATTTTATGATGTGATTTATGCACACTTCTGTAAGATATACGAAAGGTAGTACCTTGCAAGTTTCAGCCAATATGCTTGTTCATTTCCCCTCAGTTTCCTACGAGTATCGAGATGAAACCAAGGATACAGATGATACCCAACAGGAAACGGTCTCCGAGAATAATGTATGTTATCCTGGACAGAAATGTGAGGTAGGTACTGTCTGTCTATCATATGAGCTAGGAAATATATTTCCTTATGTAGAAAATATTCATTGGTTTTACAATTATAGATATTACAGAGTCGTGATGAAAATCATGGTTTTGATCTTGGTTAAATATCCGTTTTCCATCATCTTCATGCATATACTTGTTCACAAAAGGAATACCCTAGAATAGCAACTTATGTTACGTATGGATCTGGTAACAAACAAACAAGGCAGTTGAGTTATAGTGACAGAGATGTAACTAGTGAAGATGAGAGAATCCAGACTCGGATGATTTGAATAGAAATGGATAGAAAAGATGGATGAGAAGTAGGAAGACCGGTCAGTTTAGTGCTGGTTAGAGATAATATTTCTGCAATGTTTGTTTGTTTATGTCCGTATGAAGAGATAACATTCTTAGAACTTTGTTAGAAGCTCTCTCAGTCTCTGGTCTAACGTTAGTCATGATTGCTGAAGAAGTTACTGGTATAGCCAATCACTTCTTTTGTTTGATTCACATAGAAAATGTGTTTCTTCTATGTTTGTCTACGATATAGGAAGGGATTACATTCTTAGAAGCTCTCTCAGCCTCTGGTCTAAGGTCAGTCAGGATCGCCAAAGAAGTTCCAGGCATCAAGAGAGTGGTAGCCAATGATTTCTCAGAGGAAGCAGTCAGGGATATAGAGAGGAACATTCAGTTCAACAACGTTGAAGATCTGGTCGAAGCCAGTCATTCAGATGCATCGTAAGTTTTCCTTGACTCGATGCAAATAATCAGAGCTAAAAATAATGCAAACTTTTGTTTATGTTTTTGAATTACTTAATGTATCTACCATACCATGAACCTTGTATTTTTGAAGGTCATCAATATTGAAAAAAGGAGTTCTAAATCTATGTTAGTGAAAACATTTTGATTGCTGAGCAGCTCTCCCTCCCTAATGTACTGAAATGAAGCCTGGGGGTGTTTCATAAAGCTGTTCGTATAGTTACGCATGACTTGTATATGAAGGGCCAAATAGGATGCCCAAAAGTTTTTTCTGATATTTCATATAACCTCAATTAAATTATGGCAAAAAATATACTTTGCATTAAAAATGTTTGTTAAGATAAGAATGTCAATCTACATCTGCACAGTTTAACTTTAGTTTAGGCTTGAGTCGGTACGGTCGATCACACCGGGACCCGACCGTTGCCGTCGGGTCCCGGTTTCGTTTTTTGAGAACCGACGCTCCGAAAAAAATAATGAAATATGTAAGAAATTGCAGTTTTGCACACCACTAAAATCAATCCACCTTGAAACTTAAGTATTTAATTGTTACCAATCATATTCTAGCTCATCCAGAATCAATCCGAACTGCTAATATAAATAAGGGTTGCAAAGCAGTTCGCCCCATTGGGTTGTTGTCGCCAGCTGCTAGCTAGCTAGCTACTGTACTGGCCGGGTCTCTCGACAGAATTAATAAATCAGGTTGAAAGAAAAATTAATGTTTGAATAATAAAACGACTTTCTAAAAAGTACTTCTTTACAACATACCAATCGAATAATTTTTAAAAGACAAAATAGATATTTTTTCTTTGATTTTGAACACCGCATGCTTCTTTTAAAAGCTGAAAATTACTTGGTAATCACAAGAAGTTTCGATACGGATAGCTGTTGCAAGGCAAGTTCAGACTAGTCTCGGAAAAATGCGCTGTGCTCCTCGTTAGCTGTAATGCGTGCCAGAACGAACCCAAACAAAGACGTGATCGTAACGAGAAAAAAAATCATTAAAAACTACGAGAGCACAATTGGAAAGACAACTACTCAAAATTATCGTAAGCAGATACATAACTTGGAGGAAGAATACAATAGTTGTCCAAGAAAAGCCACACAAATAGTGATATTTAAGGAGTTACTATAGGTACAATCATTATCGGAAGGGCCTGCTGCGATATATCCGAATTATACACGTGTTTGAATTGAACACGAGGCAAATACCGCCCTCTACGGTAAAAAGCAGTATAACACAGGATTCAAGTATTTGCAGCAGGCACCTTGCGATAAAAATGTACCCAGTTACTCCTTGATTATAACAATTTCTGTGGCATTCCTTGGGCGATTATTGAATTCTTTGTCCAAGTTATGTATCTGATTATGATAATTTTGAGCAGTAGTTGTCTTTCAAATTGTGCTCTCGTAGTTTTTAATGATTTTGTTCTCGTTACGATCACGTCTTTGTTTGGGTTTCGTTCTAGCACGCATTACAGCTAACGAGGAGCACTGCGCATTTTTCCGAGACTAGTCTGAACTTGCCTTGCAACAGCTATTCGTATCGAAACTTCTTGTGATTACCAAGTAATTTTCAGCTTTTAAAAAAAAGCATGCGATGTTTAAAATAAGAGATAAATATTTATTTTTGTATTTAAAATATTATATGATCGGTATATTGTACAGAAGAAATTTTTAGAAAGCCGTTTTATTATTTTAACATTAATATTTTTTGACCAGATTTATTCAACCTGCATAAATCAAAATGGCGGCTCGAATGTTGTCTTTCTATTTCTGCCCCAGTTTTTTACTTTTAGAGGCACGATAATGGCACTAAACATCGCCAATCATGGATGAAAATAATGTCAAATGGAAGAATATACCGATCTGAGCCGAGGTATGCATGTGTTGATATATTTGATTGATAAGAAAGGTCACTTTTAAGGGACATACTGATGATATGTGCTTTTTATAAAGGCAAGTGACAAATCCTGCGAGCTGATTTCGGGACACCGGGTCCCGATCGGTGCAAGGCCGTCGGGACCCGGTTTATGAAAATCCCGACATGACTCAGGCCTACTTTAGTTGATGCAGTAAATAATGATTGAGCATCCTATTTGGCTTTTCATATACAAGTCGTTCGTAAAGTCATGCGTACTTTACGAACAGCTTTATGAAACACCCCCCTAGTCACTAATAGCTGACATGAGCTGACACAAGCGCTAAAATTAATATAAAAATTGATTGATTTTTTTTTATTTATTTTTTTTTAATATGAATCTTTACTAACAAATAGTTTCATATCTATTTGGATACATACATATACATTTCTCTTAAGTTGCAGATATATAAAAAAATCAAAATAAATGGGAGTAAAGGAAAGAAACTCCATTCTCATTTATCTCTTCTTGTCATGTTTGAAGGTTACTGATGTACAAACATCGGTTCAAAGATTCCTTCAACGTGGTTGACCTAGATCCCTACGGCAGTGCTGCTCAATTCTTGGACTCCGGTGTCCAAGCTGTACGTAATGGTGGTCTTCTCTGTGTCACATGTACTGATATGGCTGTACTATGCGGTAATCATGGGCATGCATGCTTCGCCAAATACGGGGCGATGGCACTACGGACCAAGTTCTGCAATGAGATGGTAAGATTTGCTCTAAGGTTTTGTTTTAACACTCAAAAGGTTACACACTGCAAAATCAGTCTAAAAAGTAAATAACAAAAAAGAGTCATACATGTAGACAACAACATAACTAAGAAATCATAAAGTAAATTGTATTTTAAATGGACAGGGGGCGAATAGTTCAGATAATTTTCTTTGATATAGATATTCAAAATGGACAAAAGAAAGAAACATATACTACAATACTACACATATACTACAACTGTAGAGATGTGGTCTAGTGGATTAGTCACTAGACTGTAGATTAGAAGGTACATGGTTCATATCCCAGCCTGGCACTAATGTCATTTGTTTTTGTTGATTTTTATATTATTGTATTTAAAAGACTAGCCTGATCATTATCTCATGTTTAAAATATTTTCTATTTCTGTTTCTTGTTATTTATTCAAAATGTTGATTAATATCATAATATTGATGAGTAAAATCTTTCACACAATGGGAATTGTCTTCTTGATAACTTGTTATTGACAGGCCTTGAGAATTCTTCTGCAGTGCATCGAGACTCAAGCCACTCGTTATAATCGTTACATCGTTCCAGTTCTTTCAGTCGCAGTGGATTTTTACGTGAGAGTCTTCGTCAGAGTTCATATCAGTCAGTCTAAAGTCAAGTACTCGCCAAGGTATGTAACAGAGCCACTACTGCGTTTCGAAAGAAGGTTGGGTTCTGAAAAAAGGTTATCAAGGATTTGTAAGGCCTTCAATTTTCTTTGATTTCCTGTGTGGAAGAATCAATGTCAATTTAAGAGGATTCAACTAAAAATCCTGTCCTGTTCCTAGTATGACTTACAGTAATTTAAAATTCAGACAAAAACATGCATTTGTTGACATATCTGAATATTCATTTGAATACAAATGAATAGCTTTTTACTCTTTTACTAATCAATATGATGATTTCCAAACCTCACAGTACGCAATTAATGTTATTTATTACATAATCAACCATTCCCAATAATATCATGAATGATTGTTATGAAATGCGATCGTGTGACTTGTAAGTAACATTACAGATTACTTTGGAACTACCAGTAGTATGTTGTCTGTTTGGACCAGTTTATCTTTTCTAAAGCACACAAAAAATACACGCAGAAATGTGTTTCCATAATGTGTTTATTGAAACTCATATTGTTCACTGTTTTGTTTTACTTCGTCCATGTGTGTAGCAAGAAAGCCTTGGTATATCACTGTAGCGGATGTGGTAGTTTCAACCTTCAGAGATTGGGCAAAGTCTCCTTCAAAGAGAAGTGAGTATCTATTCCTCTATGTTTCGTAGAAGCCATTTGCACTCCAATAGGAGGAGACTTAAAGGGTAATCCAACCCCAAATAGACAACTGCTCTAAAAGAAAGCAGAAAAATCAGAGAGGCAAACTGATGAAAGTTTCGAGAAAGTTTAATATATGCTCACTGTACTTGACTGCAAATGTTTCTAATGTTGAACGATTGAATCTGTATTTTCCCAATAAGAAGGCAAATAAAGGACAGTGTATCAAAACAAATAAGAATTTTTTTTTTTCTTCAAGTTGTGATTATGTAACAATTTTTTTTTCAGAAATGGAAACTGACTGGATCTTGTGTCCTCCTCCTCTGTCTCATACATAATTGTATTGGTCTTTTGTTTTGTTTGTTAGCAACCCCAATCCAATCTTCCAGCCAGCCACTGGTCCTCCTGTAGATAAGTCCTGTCAACATTGCGATTCATCATTCCATGTAAGTTATGCTTTACTCTGATGAAGTAAGAAACGGGTCAAAGTAGTCTTTCCATCAAAGTGTATCTCTTTTGGATTAATGCTTAACTCAGTTCACCATTTTTACACAATATTGTGTATCCATACGTTATGTGTCCGGACAGGTTATGTATCCGGACATTTATTTTAACCAGCATTTTAAAGAACATGACATGCAATTATTCATAAATCTTGTAAGACTTATGTTAGACACTATTATAAAGGATATATAATTGATGCATATTTTTTGTTGAAATCCAGTAGCAAAAGTAACAGCTTCTTTTTTGTTCGCATTCTGAAACACAACCCCAAACATAAATTATTGTATTGAGATAACAATGATCCTCGGGCTTCTACTACTCAATGCACCATTTGCATGACTGATCAAATGAAACCAACTCATCTTAACCTTTGACCTTGGTATACCAATTCAGGTATTCATTGACATTGCAGTATTGATTTTTAGGACGTTTTTTGGGCACAAAAACAAAAAAATGCATATTTTTTCTTTTCTTCTACTTTTTTATCTCTCATAAAAAGACTCATTGCTTGTAAATTTCTCATAACTTCATTAATTTTTATGGTTTTCTACATGTTGATGTATTTGCATTTTATTGGTTTGAATTGTGTTTTTAATGGAATTATGAAAGTAAATTAACCGGAGTTAAATAAACAGCTGTATCTGTGTTATTTTCTTCAGGTAGGTGGTCCAATCTGGGCTGACCCCATACACGATGTAAGCTTTGTGAAGCGCCTGATAACGCACATAGACACATATCCTGATCGATTCAAGTACAAAGACAGGATGAAAGGCATGATGACGGTCGTTAGTGAGGTAAGATGCTCTATGTAGAGGTGTAGTGGTCGAGTGGATACGTCCACACTCCACCCAGGTGAAGTAAATGGGTACCTGGTAGGAATTTATTCCTTGAAACGCAGAGCACATGACAGCTGCACTGCTAAAGCCAGGGTAATTATGCTGTAATATTGTAGAGCGCTTTAATAGAGACTTCTGATAAATTAAGTGTTAGGCGCTATATAAGCAAAATATAATTTTATGCTTGATACTGCCTTTCCTAATACAGACTTTTAAATGAACTTCATGTATTTAAAAGCATTTATAATGAAATAATGCAAAATTGTTCAAGTTGGCAGGAAGATAGATTTATTTCCTGTTGACAATACATCTATGTTGTATAAGATTGATTAAACCTGTATCTTTGGACACAATTTGTATTTCCTTTGTGTTTGAGCTCTCAGATTCCCCTCTTTATATTGTAACAATATACAATTATATTATATTATATTTAATATTTACATTCAAGATTATTACTGATAAAGTGAAAGACTTCCTCTGTTACATACCGTATTTGCCGGCGATAAGGCCGCAGCGCCGCATAGGCCGCACCCCCAACTTTGAAATTTTTTAGACTTTAAAAAAAAAAAAAATTGTTTGCTTTTTTGGAGACACCATAGGCAGCAAGACAGATGGCCTCTTATTTCAGCTTTCTCTCGTGTATTGCGCCATAGCTTGTCTCGCACGGGCTGAGAAGATTGAGGTTGCTTTAGCTATGGCAAGAACTTAGATCTAGATCTACCAGTAGTGTTTGGTTGTTAAGTTATGAAGTTTATCATGAACGTTTATACTTTGCCTAAACCTAGGAGCTGTCTGACTGCCCTCTGTATTACATAACCAGCCATCTATGTAACGTCGTTCACTGTGAATGTCCTTCTCAAGAGAAAGTTAGATCAGCCATCTTGAATGCCGGCTACCGAGTCTCTATCTCGCATGCATCGCCCGAAGCTCTCAAGACGGACGCTCCAGCATCCGTTATTTGGGATATAATCAGAGCATGGGTAAGATATGTCATATTCTTTGCAGTTTTGTTTGAAGCTTGAATCATTATCATCATCATCTACATCCTCCTCCTCCTCCTCCTCCTCCTCATCTACATCCTCCTCCTTCTCCTCCTCCTCCTCCTCCTCCTCCTCCTCCTCCTCCTCCTCCTCCTCCTCCTCCTCATTGGCATACATCATCATTTATCATCAAAGGGATTTTTTCATAATCCTCATATTGCCATTAATAAAACCCTTCAACCATCCTCATTTTCAACCATTCCCACCACTCCCTACTCGCTATTGCGTCCATCTTCTCAATAATTCCCTATGCTCCTTCTGATGACTCTTCTTATTCTCCAAAGGTCAAAGATCACCCTGTAAGTGAGAAGCGTCTTGCAGCCAGCAGCCCAGCGGCCTCCATCCTCAGCAAAGACTCTAGCATCAAAGTCAACTTTGACCCCCATCCTGATGCCATACCCAAGTCTAGACAGATGGTTAGGTTTCCAGAGAACCCACAGGCTAACTGGGGACCAAAGGCTAGAGCTAAGATGATGTGAGTTACAATTGATTTTACCTTTTTAACAGAGTTTTTTTTTGTTGAGGGGAAACATTTTCTTTTGATAGGGTATTCCCATCACTGTGCAAAATATTGTTTTTCCTTTGAGCCCTGAAGATAATTAAGTCTCATATTACAAATTAGAAATTGCAGATCTGTAATAACAGTTTTGTAGCACCAAATTTATCATGTAAACATTAATGAGATTGTAAAATAAAATGTTATGGATAGCAGAATGCCCAAGAAAGTAAGCATTGGGTAATACAGTGGAAACTCCTTAGAAAATTGCCTTGTTATATTAGGGAATCTCTTTATATCGGGGGTCAATAAAGAGCTGGGACCAGCAAAATTACCTTCTTATAACAGATACCTCCTTATATACTGAGGTTGCACTGCATATGGGAGTACAATTTAATTGGTTTACTATACTAGCACCAAGCAAGGTTTTATTATGCGAGTATGGAGCATTCTTGGGAAACAATGGAAAATGAGTGAATGGGATGCAGCTTGCTTGATTCATTGAGTACCATGCCTTTGTTTACATCTCTTATAGGGCAGGTGATGAAACGTTAGAGGATAAGAGAAAACGTCTTCAAGGGAAACGATCAAAGAGAAAACGAGATGGATCATCGGATGAGGAGAAGAAACAGGTACATACTGACAGTGATACGATTGATTGATGTATTTACAGCGTTATTAATAAGAAATATAGAAAGCCTGTTTATTTTGTCAGAGCATGGTTTGTTTCACATTTATTTTGACTCAAGGTGTTTTTGAAGTGTTCATTTTCATAATTGGTTGAGCAGTCCTTTATACTATGATGTGGAATATTGACCCAAATGCTTTGTGGTGTAAGTGAAAAGCTGTGATCATTGTATCATATAAATTGTGCACCATCTCCATTCCCTTGAGAATAAAAGCTGTAAATTAATTATAAACCATTAAAGGTACTATGTCCCATTTGCAGGCCAAAAAAATGAAAAGGTTAAATTCCAACAGTATTTGAAAGATAATACTAATTTAGAACTTCTCTAAAAAAAGAGGGGCTTGAAAATAACTTTGAGTGAGAAAATAACGACTATTAGTTTTCGAATCGACTTAGGAGCTAAAGAGCCAGTAAGTAATATGTCTTGATTTTCAGACCATTGTACCGAATGGTCGTACATTTTATGCTGTGCAAAGAGTCAATCAGTTTAATTTTGGCCATTACAAGAAGTGGATTATTGATGTAGACAAATGCTCATGTACCCTTTACAGCTCATTTTATGTATATTACCAAAAAAGGAAAAAAAGCAAGTCAGTCACTCAATAGTGTCTGACAGCGAAGTCTAGCAAGTAAACAGGTTTCCTTGCATAATTTGAATATTAGGACCAGGGCTCAAATTAATTTTTTGTCCACGGGGGCTCTTCCCAAAAAAAAGCGCCCCCCTGAGCCTTCTCACGGGGGCTCTTTTAGTGCTGACGGGGGCTCTTATTTTACTACAAATTTCCATTGAATTGGTACCCATGAAACTCCTTGGTATTTTATCATTATCATGTATTTAAGTCGGCATTTTCCCTCTTAGAAATTTAGTTGTTACATAGCTGTTATTGACTTTTATCCCCTCTCCATTTCTTCCCGTTCTGCACATAATTCCCTCCTCATTATTTGGAGCAACCTTATTTACTTTCTTTCTTTACTTTTAGTTTTTACCATATCCTTCCAAAACACAGGGGCGGACCTAGGTTTTGCTAAGGGGGGGGGGGGGTAACCCAAATACGATGTGGAGCATCGTCCACGAGCCGCGTAGCGGCGAGGCGATTTTTTTTGGTGCTATTTTGAACACCCGTAAGTGGTGTTTTCTTGGCATCTAGTAACATGCGGAGCATCGTCCACGAGCCGCGAAGCGGCGAGGCAATTTTCTTGATGCTTTTTGAACCCCGTTAGTGATGTTTTTCTGGAATCTACTGCCATCTACTAATACTGTGTAGGTCTGGACACATGATAGCATTTTTCTATGCACATCACATTTTTACTTGGCAGCCCAAGGGGGAGGGGGTCTTTGGTCTTCTTCTTCTTCTTCTTCTCAATATTGATTTACTGGTCAAGTTACATTATTTGCTTGTCTTTTAGAATCACCAGATTTCAGAGGATTCACACTTTTCACAACGAAAAACTTCTCCATGTTTCAGTCCTTGCGCGATCGTCTCCAGCTCTAGCAGATATTGGGCGACAGCGTGCACACCGGTACTACCGGGGCAGTATAGCCACTGCTGACGGCCACACTGCTATGCGAGCTTCCGTTGTTTGTATCGGTAATACTCGTAGAAATGGTAGAAAAAGCGCCATCTAAGTTCCATTTCATTGGTTTAAGGTTTGAAAATTGATACTCAATATTGTGTTAAAGTTATATCAGAAAAGATTTTCTTTATTGTATAACTCCACGGGGGCGATTTTTAATTTTGTAATCGCCCCCGTGAGCAACCTGACGGGGGCGATTATGGAGCTCACGGGGGCGAATCGCCCATCGCCCCCGTGTATTTTGAGCGCTGATTAGGACACTGCTAACGTTTAGATTTCACAGATAGGACATACACAACATATTCATAATTCCTGCAAAGTTCTACAGAATTTGAGGTTGGCTGCAAAAGGGACATAGTATCTTTAATGTATTGAGATTGCTTCTTTTTCTTGATTGTATCTTTAATGTGCAGTTGAAGGTGGCTGCATCAGAGCAAGAGGATTCTAACAATACAATGATGAGATGACATCCATTGGACTAATGCATTACCCCATCTCATGCACTGCACTCCCTGCCAATCGAGCCATAAGGAATGATCCTCATTTAATTTACCTCACCTGAAGACACTCCAAGAGACTGGGGGGGGGGGGGGTATGCTGTTAAAGCAATTTCCTGGTTGGACATAAATTTCGCTATGTGTAAGATTTGTACAAAAAGCAATGGTATTTCCACCAAGTCAGGAGTCAGGGAATTATATCATCCTGCACAAGGCAACTACCAAGAGTATGTCTTGATGTCATGTCTGCAAAAGTGACTACTGGAAATGCCAGAGCGACTGTCTATGGAAATGACCAAGATTGATCTGCTCTTTGATTTTCTGTGACATGCATCTTGGAATCACCATCTCATTGAATTATTGACCTTAATTCTTACGTCTTGTCAATCACATCCTCAGATTGACTACTCAGTGGAGTTATGTATGAAGACTATATTATGTTTACTATAATTTGTGTTATGAAAGAGCTTTGTTATTAGAATCAACAGAGAGTGGGAAAGATTAGAAACCGAGTCTACAGTCTACCAATGGAAAGCTAGTCTATTGTGATTATGTCTTGTTCAAGAAACAATAAAATGTCTGGTGTACCAAGTTAACACAAAATGGATTATCACACTTCCAAGTAGAATAGGTGTGGAATAGCAAAGTTTGAACAAAAATTCTTGTCATAATTACGGGGATGTGTACTTCTTGAAATTCAATATTTGAAGAAAGAAATAATAGTTGCATGGGGAATTTTTTAGCATGGGAATGATTTCTTGTGTACTAGCCACATGCAATGCCTTTTGCAATGCCTTGGTACCCTTAAAAATGTGTATGTTTAAGTCTTCCAGCTGTTGATACTTAATGTGATGAGATATACAACACTGTATGTGTAAAAATAATCTGTACTACTATTTTCATATTTAAATAAACCAACATTATGTGAAACAGACAAAGATCTATGGCACAAGTGTAGAGATCATTACCATGTTTGAATAAAAAGTGCCAGGTATAGTGCCAGCCAACGCGACATTCTGTCCGATTCCTTTTCATCAGACTTGTTTATTTTGTTCTCGTTATGAACTCTTGGATAAACCTAACAAATTAAATGTCTACTGTGAAAATTGTAAAATATTTGTGGTCAATCATCTGATTTTTTTTTTTTTAATTTATCATACAAATCTTGACGGAGTATTTCTATGAGTTACAGATGAAGTTGAGTTCTGGTCATGCGATTGCATTGTGAAAGAAACGGTGTGGAACCGACCAGAAAAGGTTGATCATCTAGCATATAAGAATTTGTGTGTATTGCAAGGTTCTGGAATCATCAAAATGATAAGAAATTTGGCCAAGTCTTGGTAAAGTTACAAACACTTGCACAGAAAGATGTATATGGGACTACACAAACACGTGTAAAAAGCCGGCCCCCCGATTTTTACGATGTTCCATGCGTATTTAGAATATGAAGGCATTTGAAGAGCCATGCTTTTCAGGGAACATGTCTTAACTGATGTTCATGTTCTTCCACACTTGCATAATAAGAATGAGTAATGCTCACAAATTATTGTTCACCTCTTCCCAGAACTCAACCTTCTCTTTAATCTTTGAGGTCAAGTGACTATAATAAACATGCACTATGATCAAATTCTATTTTCTTCTCAATTGTGAAGTGCATTCATACCATTATTTTGTATAGGCATTTGGACCAAGATGTGCTCTATTTCCTCAAAAATTTGCATACACAAGGCAGTTGCCTTTGTGTAGAGCTCTCAACTTTTAATAAAAGAGAACATTCATCCGAGTGGTGTACAAAAATCTCCAATTTGATTAGTTATGAATAGCACAAATTTCACCAAATCTGCCTGCATTTATAGAATGGTATTATTTTGTGATAAGTAAATAGTTGTACAATAATCTGTTAGAAAAATAAGAAGAGAAGAACTATAACATGAGACAGATGAGAGAGAGAGAAGAGAAGAAACTGAGCGAGAGGGTGGGGGGGGGGGGGAGAATTGAAAGAAATTCATAGACTGAACAAAGGCAGGATCAAACAAAAGGACAGGAATAGGGGAAGGGTGGGAAAGGTGCATGTATTTAAAGATTAATCAACAGAAAATTAGGATGCATTACGCAGTCGTTTGAATTTTATTCTATATAAATCTAATGAAATTCATGAAGTTTGGGAACAATATGGAAAGATCATCAAATTGCCAACTCTGTTGTGATCTTCAAGACTTATTTTCTTATCAGATGTGTCTAAATCAACACCGACTATTCAACATACACACATCCCCATTTTGATTCATTTAATTATACATGTACGGTGTAATTGTAACATTCTACATGTATCTTCATTATCATTCTTGGCCCTTCGAAAGTGGTCAAAAGTATACATGCAGATGTTATCAAGTACATGCATACATGTAGCAAGCTTATTTTCTTTTATCACGTCCTTAGTTTTTCTTGATTTTCCTTCCCTCCTCCCCCTGTACCCATCTTTCATTCCTTCTCTCTTGCTCACTCTCCCCCTCTCTCTTTACCTCCTCTCCTCTATTTCTGGCAATGTCGATATGGGATTGGATAGCCATCACAAGTACAAAAAAAAAAATGACAGTAACAACCTGATGCATTCAAAATTACATTCAACTTTACATCTCACATTCATAACAAACTCTAATTCATTATCAAACTTCCAATATACACTCCACACAAAAAGAAACCATGAGCACAACTTATTTTGTGGCTGTATTCTTCTGTAATTCCATATTCCTTCAAACATATTTCATACAGAAATTTCACGGTGTTGTGAAAAGGCAATCATGTTGAGCTTCTCATAAATGGGGTTGATGACCAATTTTGCAAGGTCCGAAATCAGTTCCATGTCAATGGGATTGGATCATTCAGTGCTGTTGTATCACAGGGCGAGTGTGTCGAGGACGAACGATGGCTGCCTGGCTTGGAGGGAGGCAGGGCGGTTGGGTCGGGTCGTCTAGTTCTTGAGCATACGAGCCTTCCATTTGTTGAGTGGTCCATGGTCGGGATGGTACTGGACTGATACTCCATCAGGGACCAGCTTGCCCTCGGCGCGCATCTTCTCGTACTCTTCCCTCGTCCACTTGGTGAAGCCCCACTTGTTGGAGTCAAAGATCTGATAGGAAGGTAACAACATCCAATCAAATAAAGTCAAAACCATCACGTGCCAAAATCATCCAACGACGATGGAAAACGCCATTAAATTGAACAACAGCAACAAGCTAGTATTTTTTTTTATTTGTTAAAGCAAAAGAGGGAGACCCAACTAAGGAGCTCCAAACAGTGGAATGAACTGTAAGTTAACGTTAATTCTTAGGAAAGAAGATTATATGTAATGCCAACAACATATGATGCCTCCGACGACTTTGCAGCGGAGACATAAAAACAACAAAACCGACAGAATATTAATTGAGAGAGCTGGTGAAATGTAGAACTAACCTCACAGTGTGTTATTACAAGATATGTGCATTTTATAGCTGGATTCACCTTATAAATTACATTTGTTACTTAATAATTTGGATATGAATATCTTACAGCATGATTAGCATATTTGAATCAATGAAATATATTTGACCGATTTCAACACAAAGGAGACTAAGCACTACATTGCTCTATGAGCTTTAAAGGGATAGTTGAGTTCTGTTTTCAGAACGCAAATGCCTTCAAAGTGCATGGTTATTGCTCTTGTTCTTATCTATGCCATATCTATTATCTAGTGCCCTTATAGAACCTAAAATTGCTATGAAGGTAATTTTAGCCCCCAAAATGTGTGAAATTTAGCCAATACGAACATATCAATTCAGCTCCACTTTCAAAAAAATATGGTGACCGTTAATTAATTATTCAATTAAAAATAACAATACGTGGGCCGGCTAGTTGTGCGAAATATAACAAACACGAAAATGCCAACATCGGCATTGGCTGAAATACGACGTAAAAGGCGCTATTTCGTTTTTCGATATATATATCTAATATTTGTGGTGGTACACAAGTGTAAGAAATCATTATATTTGTGGATATTTCAGCCGTCTCTGAAGCAATTTTGATCAAACAAAGATAATTTTTTCATTTAAATTGAATGTTCTTTCAAATTTGACACTCAGTTTTTCATTATCTCACAAATAAATTATTTTGTGTAGCGCCCTCTGTAACAGAACTCAACTATTCCTTAAAGTTTTTCTCTTCATGAATTGTACAAGTAGGACCATACTGACCTTCTGACGTCCAGGGAACTTGAACTTTGCCCTCCTGAGAGCTTCATGTGCAGCAGCCTTGTTACCCTCCTTGGTCCTGACAGACATGATGGTCTGACCGATCTTCACACGGGCTACGGTACCCTGGGGCTTGCCAAAAGCTCCACGCATTCCAGTCTGAAGCCTGATAAGGAAACACAGTTACTCAAGTTAAACAATGACATAAATTAACAGAAATCCAGACCAACAGCACTGGCTACCAAGTCAAACACATTGCTTTCAACATACAAATTCTACAACAATGGTGTATGATTTAGAAAATACCTTGCTGCTTTTGCTACGACCAGGGATATCTAGATGTTAAAATCCTTTTTTTTAAATAAACAAATGATTTCTTTACATGCTTGCCTTAGCAGACATGCGTTAGAAATATACCATTATCTACCGATTCTGCATTATCTACCAACAGGTACATGTATGAAACTGAAACAAATTATTTTTCTGACAACTAATTATATCTCACAATGGATAAGGAGACACAAGTTAGGCAATCATGAGGTCTCTGAAAATTAATTATCATGGTACAATGGTTCTACATGCTATACAACTGAAACCTTTAATTCATGGACAGGTTTTTCTACAACCGACTTTCTAAGATGGACACTCACCTATCAGCTCCAGCGCACGACAACATTTTGTTGATGCGGATGACGTGGAATGGATGGAGCCTGATCCTGATGTGGAAGGCGTCCTTACCGCAGTTCTTCACCATGTACTTGTTGGCACAGATGCGCCCGGCCTCCAAGGCTTCGGACGACAGCTGCTCCCATTCATCAGACACAAGATGGATGCAAATAGGGAACTCGTCAACCAGAGCCCTCTTGCGACCCAAGTCAAAGATACGGATCTTGGGGTCTGGAGAAAAGAGGACAACAAAAAATTATGCACTCCTGTTTATTTAACAAGCAGATCAACAGGATCCTTCAAAATTTTCTTCTTCATTTTGATGATTGATCCAAATGTGACATGCTATTTGTGTCACTAATCATTTTATTTTAAGGCAAAATGTGCAAATAATTTATTTGATGTACATAGACCCTACTAGTAACAAAATGTTTTTTAGTAATTTTCATAGTAATGTTGGATTACAATTAGAATCAAAATGTTTCAAACATCAGTATATCTCATTTCTCCCATTGTTATTCAAGGAAACTGTTAAATATATTTTAAGTACTCAAATTGAGAGAGATTTTCAAGAGAACGCTACTTTCAAACCAGCATTTTGAGTTTTAAAAGTTCAATACTAAAATTTAAAAAGAACGGTAAGCTCACCTGGGACACCACGGCAGAACCGGGATTTGGGATAGGGCTTGTTCTTGCAGTAGCGGTAGCTGTATAGTGAAGAAACCATTCAATAAAGTAAATATGTCATTTAAAAACTGCTTAAAAATCGGGCCTTCTTTTGTTAGGAACTAACTGAACCCCAGTATTTGATTCTATTTCAATTCATTTCTAATCACAAGGTATATGTATGAAAGGGGGGAGGGGAGACTTCACATGCATTGTATACATCTTGCATTCAACATCAGACAGTAGGGGTGTTGGTCCGAGAATAAGGATCGTCCTCACAAATGAGGATATCCTCGTAAACGCAGACAAATTGCGTCCTTCAAAATAAGGATCGTCCGCATTTTTTCAACGGCGCTTTGAGAGTTTCGGGTTCCTGAACCGCGCGCTGGCGATTTGAAAAATGGATTCCGCATAAGAAAATACCTTCAGTTGTCCGTCTAGTATCCAAAGATTTATCGCTCATAATATTAACGTGAAAGTCTCTGTACATAGTCAATGTAAAATGCATTAAGAAAATCATTGTGGAATCTGTTTATGGCATCGCCAGCGATTGGAAATAGTCAATGAAACGTCTGCAAAAATGAGGCTTTTTAGACCCTATTTCTTAGAACGCATTTGTCCGCGTTTACGAAGACGATCCTCGTTTGTGCGGATGATCCTCATTCTCGGACCAGCGCCCTAATAGTACTGGGGACTAGACTACTTATCACGCGGGGCATCATTTCTCAAAAGTGGCAAATCCCAGAGCTACGATGGAAACAACATTAAATTGCTGTTTTGACCGAAATATTTTTAGAATTCTGAGATGTCGCCCCTTTGGAAATATGAAAATAACCTGCTCTTTCACACAACACCTCATTTATTGAGTTATCACTTTCAGGATCACGAGCAATAAAGGTTTGAATCTCGATTTGGTAATAAAAACATTGACCAATTTTGCATGATCGCGCAATGGCAATGCACGTAGACTGCATAGGGACGTGTGCAATCTCTACGAGAAGGATCTTAGCACACAAAATCCAGTGCGCGATCATGCACCCTATTAATAGGAGAGAGTTTTCTAAATCACGATAGAGCAATCTCAAAATGTAAGAAATTACAGCACTTCCTCATTACCCAAAATGGAAGTGAACTCATGAAAAAAGGGTTCCGTATATAAACTATAACTGTGATTAAGGCGGACATGGATGGATTATAACATGGATTTCTTTTCTGATCAACAAAATAAAACGGGAGACCAAAGTTAGTACACGTACCATCTTGCCGGCCGACGTCCCATTTTCGGTTTCTGTAAGAGAGAGAAACAGAAATAATTGCTAAATATTTATGTTAACGTATATATTAAGTGTTTATTACTGTATTCTAATTGATAAAATTCATAATCATAATGGGATTGCGTGGATTTTCTTAGATTTTCAGGGAATAGTTTCGGGTTGTCGTACCTTGTATGAGACAGGCTCACGAAAAGGCCAATTTGAAGATTGTCAACAAACTCACTGAAAAAAGAGGTATTACGTATACTGTAAAATTTCCAGATAATATAACATGAACTTGAGTCGAATTTATATTTGAAATATTCATGAAATTATTGTTTTAAATAGAGATTTGTAAAACAATTTATATTTTCTTGACTATTCATTACCGACAAACTGATTGGCAACCTTGTAGAAAAAATAAGCTACTAAATAAAGACATCTTGAGAGTATGGTAGTGTAAGAGTAAAAATGTAAAACCGTATTATAAAACTTTTCATGTCCGCCTGGTCACAGACACTCTCAAAAATGTTTTAGTGTGTAAAAAAAAAAGACTGGTAGGAGCATAAACACTTGTTTATCAGAGGAAAGTGTTCAATTGCAACATTGGCAATTATGCATGATTTTTTAAGTCACAGCATGCAATCGATCGCTCCGCTGTCACCAAAGGAGAGTGTACATGCATGGGCTTGGGAAAATAATATGTTCGAGGCCTTTTTTGTGTTATGTTTCAAATAATTTTGCGCAAAACTATAGCATTCTCAATGACATTGAGATTTTATATTTCTATTTTTCTTTTCCTTTTTGTTCTGCACAAAAAACGTATACATAGGTCATGCTTTTTCTTTTGTCTTACAGTTGGGTAAATTAAACTGCAGTACGTGTCCCTAGCATGATCTTAGTTTCTTATGACTTTTGTGCCGCTACTCAGGCAAAACAAGCAAAACATATAAAATTGAAAAAAATGTGCATGAACAGATATAGTGTAGACCTACACTGTATAATCCCCAAATAAAAGAAAGAAAGCAACCAACGAAAACAAAATAAAAACATTTAGTAGCGGATTTTGTCGGCTCCGGCATGTCTCTGCTTGTAAAAGTTGGCTTAAATTGATTTGCGCCTTTGCAAAAAAACCTGGTGATCAAAATTTTTAAATCGGGCCGAAAATTTCTCAACGACTCAGCCAGCCGCTGAATAAGCGGGGGAGGGGGGGGGGGGGGGGGGGGGGGGGGGGGGTAAGAGGACATTTTTTTTTTGGTTCCAAAAAAATCGCAACGACTCAGCCAGCCGCTGAATAAGCGGGGGGGGGGGGGGGTAAGGTCAACTTTTTTAGGTCAGCCATTGGTATAATTTCTTTCTTTTTTTAATTAAAAAAAAAAAAAAAAAAAACCAAAGGAGGGTTCAGCCCCCAACCCCCCCCCCCCCCCCTGCGTACGCGCCTGGATGCTTCATACATACATGGATAAGTGATGTCAGAGGTGGCCCTCCCTCCTGTGGGGGGAGGCAACGGGCACAATGCCCCCAGGCCCACTTTTTCAATTAGTACCACAAAGTGCCCCTTTTTACACAGGAAAAGTGCGCCTAGTAAATTGTAAAAGTGCTCCTTCTTCTTTTCACCTCTATTTAGTTCCCCTTTTCCTTCGACAAGATCTCATTTTCCTTTGCAATAAATGTACATTTTCCATTCTTATATAACTGCTCTTTTTCAGGTAAGAGAAGTGCCCGCTTTTCACCTTTGACACGTGTCCCCTTCACCCCAGTCTGATATAATTGCCCTATTTAAATCTGAGAGGTGCACCTTTTAGTTTGACAAGTGCCCCTTTTCCTTTGTTAGAAGTACCGCCTCTCTTTTTAATAACTACCCTCCATTTTAACTCGGATAAGCGCACCTTACATTTTCACATGTGCCCTTTTTCCTTTGTACTAAGTGCCCCTTTTCCTAATGATAAGAAAGAAAGAATAGTGCCTGCCAGAGTCACAAATGAGGTATCAAAATATGCTCATCTGACCGTAATTAAATGCCTAACCCCTGAGCTTCCGGGGGCTCGGCCACCTGGACCCCAGGCCAATTAGTTACCTCCCAGTACCACAAATAGCGAAATATACTCATCTGACTGTAATTGAATGCCTAAAACCCCTGAGCTTTCGAGGGCTCTACCCCTTGCCCATGGACTCCATGCAAATTTACGCTCTACCTGATCATTAATACCTTAGCCCCCCCCCCCGCACTTTAAAAAACGTTCCGCGGGACAGGCGCGGATCCAGGATTTCTTAGGGGGGGGGGGCAAACTTGAAATCAATTTGAAATTTAGTGTGCTGAAATTTAAAAAAATCGTGCAGGCCAATATTTCGCTCAGTGCGGGGGAGGGGGGGGGGGGCAAACTTGAAATCGATTTGAAATTTAGTGTGCTGAAATTTGAAAATCGTGCCTTCCAATATTTCGCTCAGTGCGGGGGGGGGGGGGGGAGGGGGTAGTGTGCACTATTATTTTTTATTTTGTTTAGGGGGGGCCTCGGAAATTTGAAAAATCGCACCCTCCCCCTGTATGACACGTTTTTTCCCCAGGGGGGGGGGGGGGGAGGGGGCTGGATCCGCCATTGCCCCTCTCCCCTAAACGTTTTTGCGTATTACGCTAGTAGTTCCTCGCATTTCGTCCCACCCGGCCTGCGCCGTATGCATGTCCCCCCCCCCCCCCCATACGGGGGTGTGCCGCTCTAATGGGTGACTTTTTCACAAAACATCCCTAAACATGGGTCCTACTTTTAACAAAAATACCATTAAAAATGGGTCCTTTTTTTTTAATTGCAAAATTTGCCTAAATTTTGGGTGTTAGCCATGCAAATATCCGAAAAATACCCAAACATTTTGAAAAATGACCCAAAATGACCCCTTATAATGGATAGGATTTTCGAGGCTTGAGCGGCACACCCCGTCCAAACCAAATCTGAGTATCCCCTCCCCAGGGTCCTTCCCTTTGAAAGCTGATATTTTGTGTATTACGAGCCGTCCGGCTTTGTTGCGTAAAAAGTACCCCTTTACCGAAGATTTTGGGAACATGAATGCGGTCTCTCCGTTTCCCGGAGTGGGGGAATGGAATGCGGGGGGGGGGGGTCGGGCCCTTCCCATCCTGATAAATGCTCTTTTCATTGTGATGAGCGTACTTTTTCACCTCTAATAAATGCCCCTTTTATTTTGAAACGTTCCCCTTTTCCGTCCTAATAAAAGTGCTTTTTTTCCTCTTGTATGTGCCCCTTCTCTTTTTCATTATTACCCACTTCTTGTCTTTGTATAGATATTCTTAAATTATATATTGCAAACGTTGTTTATCCCTTTACTCTTCTCCAGCTGACTGAGCTTTTTATTGTTAAATTTCATTCTGACGCGCTCAGGGTGCGCCCATTCATCAATCCCATGTGGATTTTACGGATGCAACCTTTTTTCATCCTGTACTCTTAGTAGATTTAATCATGTCTTCTTTTTCTTCTTTTTTTCTTCTTCTTCTTTTTTTAAATATTTTGTATAAATGTATATATTTCAATGTATTTTTCTTTGCCTATTTATGTATTACAACCAGGCGCGTACGCAGGATTTTTTCAAGGGGGGGGGGGGGTTTAACATTTATAAATCGGGCCGAAAATTTCGCAACGACTCAGTCAGCCGCTGAATAAGCGGGGGGTAAGAGGTCACTTTTTTTGTTTTTTTGGGGGCGGGGGTTCCAAAAAAAAATCGCAACGACTCAGCCAGACGCTGAATAAGCGGGGGAGGGGGGGGGGGGGGGTAAGAGGTCACTCTTTTTTTTTTGGGGGGGGGGGGGGTCTCGAAATTTGAAAATTTGACATTTTGCTCTGTTGGGGGGGGGGGTAAGGTCAGCTTTTTCAGGTCAGCCATGGGAATTTTTTTTTTTTTTTTTTTTAATTAAAAAAAAAAATCAAAAGGGGGGGTTATTGGGGAGTTTACACGCAAAAAAATACCAAGGGGGGGGGGGTTAACCCCCAACCCCCCCCCCCCTGTGTACGCGCCTCATTACAACAATGTATAATGTCATTTTTACTGTGATTGGAAACAAATAGATAAGTGCCCCGTTAATTTCAACATGTGCCTCTTTTTCTTTTTAATAAGAACCACTTCCCCTTCTCACAAAACCCCCCTTTCACCTCCGAATGCCTTTAGAATCTGATCAATGCCCCTTTTCATGAAAAATGTGAGGTGAAAAATTTAGAATGGCCATGGCCGGGGTGACAACGGGATTCGTTTTGTCAAAGGTTTATAGGATGAGGGTTAATAGCAACCGTAGTTCCGTTCATATATATTGGGCAACCACTAGTTACCTCATAATGGCGCAAGGAACAGCTAGGCTTCAACCTAGACCAAAAGCTTCGGTGTATATTGTAGGTTGTTCCATTGAGACTACGTCTGGCTCCACTAGACCTCCGATTATAGATTATGTATTGGGAATGTCAACAAATGTCAGTTTTATTAAAGAAATGACCCATATCAGACGGTTATTTCTGTCCGATAGCAGCTAATGAGCTAACTGGAGCATTTATAGGGAGGTCGTGAATTCAAAGCCCTGACTGGCGTGACGTTGCCATTTTTCATTGGAGAAACAAAAAATTACTCCTATCTGTGAGGGTTATCACTTGGTCACCGACACTGACTAGGACCCCGTTTAAAATACTCAACACCATGGCTATAATCGTAGATTCATATTTTAGCTATATACCCGTCATGTTCATCTTTTTTTTGGATTTTTTTTTGGATTTTTTTAAATTCCATTGTGATATGCTGAAGATACGGATCCACGAAGTAGATTTGTTTTGAATGAGCATATTAGGGACAGTTCACTCAATTTGTTCCCATACCCTGCAAACCCGATCCAGACTCCGAGTGAATTTGCTCAACATAATAACAAAAGTAAAAACATTGTCCACTCAAGTTCAAGCCACCATACCAATATTGACCTTTTTGGGGGTGGCTAGGTTCAACCGTGCAAGTGCAAATGCGATGCATCTGTACATGTACGTAAACAGCTGGCGCAGATGGAAAAGTGACGAAACATCTTTTGTTTAGTTGTCTTTATCAATATAACGGGCTGTTTTTATCCAATTTCGTGATCTAGAGCAGCAGCATGGACTTTGAATTAGAAGAAGACAGGATGTAAGTGCTATGAACTATGACTTGTATACTTTGTAGTCGTTAAAAACATGATGATGATGAATGATGAATGAATGTGACCGGCCGCAGGCCCGGGCGCGGGCCGAGGCCGAGGGCGAGTCGACGTCCGAGTCTAGTCTCTGAGATGGAGTGTGAGAGAGCTGAGCTGAGAGAGAGACTGAGTCTGACTCTGAGTGACTGAGCTTAATTTATGGCTGGGCCGAGTCTGAGTGAATGAGCATGGGGTGGTAGTGGCGCTGGTCCACTGGTCTTCGGGACAGATGGGTCCGCAAAAATAAGGATAGATTCTAGATCTAGGTCTAGATCTAGACTAGTCCCATTTTCACTGACGATTCTGATTTCCGATCCACGTGTTGGCGATGCCAAAAACCAATTCCGCAATGATTCTCTTTACGCATTTCACATTGACTTTGTACAGAGACTTTCACATTAATATGAGCGATAAATCTTCGGGAAGACAGACAACCCATTAAAGTAGACGATAAACTGGGGATATTTTATTAGGTTACACAAAATCTGTTTTTCGCATTTCCAGCACGCAGATCAAGATCGATAACCCCCAACCTGCAGAGCGCGGACGATCCTAATTTTTAGGACGCATTTTGTCCACGTTTACAAGGATATCTTCATTTACGAGGAGACTTTGGTGCTAGTCGGCCTAGTACGGTGGTGTGACCAAAGTCTGTGGGTAATCTAAGTTTGCTATCTCAAAAAAATCAGTAAGATTTTGAAATCTGATATCACCAATGGAAAGAGGAACATAAAACTACTCAGAGAGGAAATTTTCTTTGTGATTGGGTGCGAAATTGTGAAAATATTGACAAAAGATCAGCCAATTTTTGCAATCATTTGCGTCCGTCCCGAAAAATTGCTAACTTACTGATAAGGGTCTGCAAATCTTTCATTTTGATTTGAGAGCAGATATCCTCAAAATTGTAAGTAATAAGCAGTACCGACTGATTGTACAGTATGATATCTTGCCATGCAAATTCTGAAATTTCCTTATTTTTGATGGATCACAGTTTTGTATAATCAGCTGTAAACCCCTTGTGTTAAGTTAGTTCTTGCTGTTTTTAAGACTTTTTTAGATGCAGCACGCACGCACGATCGGACATCAAATTTTTAGATCACGATATCTCCGAAATCCTTCGACGATAAATTTTCTAGTTGAACCAATTTGTAGTAAAAACCTTTGCCGTCCATTTGGTAATAATTGAAATAAATAAATTTGTGTAGAATATGAGAAATCATAGATCGAATATCACATTTTGTAATATGTTCTAAAATGTCCGCGAAGTTTGGTCACCCCTTCATATAGTCATGTAACTCCAAGGAGTTCCGCCGCCAAAGGAGATGGAGCTCCAGAGCCTGCATAGGAAAACGATTCAAACAGCTGGTTGGGGCACATTTTTTTGAAATGTAAATGTTAGGAAGTTGTTCAATTTTGACTTACATGTACAATTTTTTCGACTCCTCTGGGCATCCAGACAACCACTTGAAATGATAATTTGAAGAATTTTTTAATGGGGAAAAGGGTGATTCCTTGTCCTTACTCAATTCATCCCATGTTGTATATATATCGTTGATTCAACATGGTGAAGAGAAAGTACTCATGCTTGGTATGTGAATTACTACATGTACCTACATTGTACAATGGGTCCCCTGTTATTTATTTTTCACCAAATATAATTTCTATCTTCTTGGCTATGATTTTTTCCTCATTTAAAAGTAAAGGTTTTATTATTGATTTTAAAAGTCCTTCCAACTAAAGCTAGGTTCATGATGCATGTACAACTTCAACTGGTACGTCACTTTTTCTCTAAAAAAGTTGCTAAGTAAAAAACAAAGCAAAATTAATTAATAAATCAATAAAAAATGTGAATATTTGATGAGAAATGAATGATTAAAGATATATATTTTTTAAATGGTAGAGACCTTGAAGGTACATGTATATTCAGTCACAGGGCATTGGCCAATATGATACATGTACATGTAGCTTGTGAGGGGATGGCAATAATCACTTTAGTCTTTACCACTGGTAAAAGAAACACCAAAGTCATGGTCCTAGCATTTTAAATAAGTTTGAATTTACTTACATGTACCCTTGCTGGATGAATCAATTCATTGGCATTTAACAATATTTGTAGCAGAGTTACCAGTATACATGTCATGTATATATATTCTCAGTTAACTCTACTACAGTTTTTTGATTTTCATGATGACATTGAGTAGGCCTACAAATAAATGCTTCTCTTTATCAACCAACATTTTCCTCAACCGTCCTATTTAGTTTGTACTTCTATTTCTAAAAATATGTACATGTAAGAGTAGATATATATTTACATGTACCATACAGTACCGTATTTGGTAAATCATACATGTACATGCATGTACCAACTTGTTTTTACCTACACGTACATACATGTATGACTTTTTCCTGAGAAATGAGGCTATATCAAAATAAAGAGCAATGTATGTAGTTTATGTACAACCCAAATTTGACAGGTACATGTACATGTACATGTACAACGTAGTTAGATTTTAATTACCAGTACAACGCTTTCCAGTATATTATGCTGAAACCCCACATGTGAATTGAGAAACAAGTTTTTAATATTATTATTTTTATTTCTTAAGAAAACACAGAAAATTCTTCTTACCAACAAATGTGTTAAAATCAGTCTTCTAGAAAGTACACTGTAGATACCTTGCTCCTGAATAACAAAATAGCTAAATGGTTCTGTTTTGATTTTCGTTTTTATGTACATATGGTTGTGTTCCCAGTATGGTGGTGCAATACCATCCATATCTTTTAAAAATGCAAGTCATTGAGAATTTTAATCACTTATTTGATGACTAGGCATATTCTGATTTCAATGTTCATACTTGTAATTTGCAAAAGCCACATTTACTTGGACATTAATTGATTGAGGATCAGATCAAACACGTAGGACCTTCATTCATCAGTGACATTTATTTTCAGAATATATTGTATCACACAATCACAAGTACAAAGAATTAGATCTGTGTCAACACAGCACAGGCTATATGGTCACTCTCAAAGAGCTGAAATGCTTTGAGATTGCTGCCCTCTTGTGGTGGAAACATGTACAATACTTGGTTAGTGTCAACAGATATTCCTGTCTGGTTTCAAAACTCAAATGCTCCTTAGAATGATGAGCATATTGACATTATATTTAAATACCATGTACATGTACCTACAATGTATATTTATCTGACTTTTGAGGAAAATCCATCACAGCATTGATTATGTTTGTTATAAATTATAGTGATAGGCATAGCTGGAAAAAAAATAAGTTTTAAACATATTTATGGAAATGTAGAAATATTTGTATGATCTCTTTCTTTACAGTTCTTTACAACAAATACATTTAAATGTTTGAAGTTTTAAATATTTGGATCAATTTAATGCGCAATGAAAATGCTTTACTTTGCAAAAATTATTTCTAATATATATGTTACATAATAAACAAATAAAGACACACAGATGATAGAGTCAGTTTTTTCTTTTACCGGTACCTGCATGTAAACCAGATATAATTAATGGACATTTTGCTGAACATGCCCCTCTACATGTATGTTATAGATTTACAAATTATTTATTACTTTAGGCACCGAGTGGGGGTATATCTTGATTCTTTGTACAACACATTGAGAGAGCTCTGCTCAAAAAGGAATCTTAGAGTTGCCAATTTGTGTTTGATCAATAAAAACTGTGACTCTCTTATTCTGTCGATTTTTTCAACTTAACTTATCTATTTATCTTATATTTATACATTCATGAAAAACATTAAAAAAAGACCCTTGCTTTTAAAAGCAAGCATGTGAATTAAAAACTCTTTTGTTCACTGGAGCTTGCTGACTGTACATCTATGAATCCCAAAGTAATGGCACCCCAGTTAGCACTATGTGTCTGTTGACCCACCTACATGTATGTTGTGAAGAGAGCGCCAAGCACAACGATTGTTCCCTTTTACAACGGTCTGTTTTTATTATATTTATGAACTATGCTTTTGATCTCCATAAACAAGAGGTAAAGCCATCAAAACAAAACTCCTTTAAAGATGACTGTCTCACACAGACACACACACGCTGTGGTATCATACTAAACGGTTCTTGTTTATTAGACGAGTCCACATATAGATGTGCCGCTGTATTTGTAGGATTACCTTATAAATTAATCCTATCCTACATCGCTGTTACATTGGTGAAAGCCTTGAGGTAATATGACAATGCAAAACACTTTCTATTCAACTACTAATCAATACCAAATTCTATTGTATTGTATCTCCCTCATTTGCATGTCAAAGAAGACTTATTTTGTTCTAGCACTGTTGCTTTACATGCACATGTAGCCTTATACAGTAGGCTGGATGTTGTAGATGATTGTTGGTCTTGGGTTATGCATGTTGGAGATTAGTTCATGCACTTCAATTTCTGTTTACACGAATATGATTTGCAAACATGTAAAAAGGGTGAAGTGACACTCAACTTTAAGATTCTTTGAAGTAGTTTGGCTCGGTACATTTTGTTTCTTTGCTGCTTTATAAGCTTCATTGATCAAAGTTTCAGCCGAAACTCTTGTCGAACTGGGAACTCGGAGTCATGATGAAAGGATCGGCCACGCTCTGGCAGTCAGATCTCTTTTATTGTATGAAAACTGTCTATTGATCTCAGATACCAGCACAAAAACACTTCTTGTGGAGTATATTTTTGTATCAAGAGAGGCCTGTACAGTGTACAGTCTGCTAGTTGAGGATATGCTTGATGGATACTTGTTGTAAGCTGATATGCTTTAACTGTTATTCAAATTCAACTGTTTATTGTGCATGCAGAAACATATTTGAAGCTAGCTTATAAACTAAGTTTAAAAACAAGTTTCAAAGAATGTCTGTGCGGAACTGGAATTGTGGAACAGAACCCAGGGACTGAAAAGTTGGAAGTTGGATACCGAGATAGTTTTCAAGATGGCTCATTTGTCATGATTTGACTCGCATTGTTGAAACTTTATGATTCATACTGGATTGCATGTGCACCTATCATTTCATGCACAGTGGATTAGTGACTTATGATTATGGAGGCAATGATACTACAGTTATGCTGTTCATAAACTTTGGAAAATCTTCAGATCACTAATGAGCATGTCTTCCAGTAACTAGGATAACGAGTACAAACAGAAGTAGAGTCACTTCAGGAAATAATTCTTCACTTGATGTACTTTTTTTCTCAACAGTCATACAGTGTATGACTGCAACTTTCAGTACTCATTGATGAAGAACTGAAAATAGTACAAAAGAAGAATCAAAAACAATATTTTTTTTGTCATTCAGAAGTGATTTCATTAAGACAACATTATGCCTGTGGAGGTGGTACAAACCATTGATGGTTTTATGGCCTGTGAAGATAAGCTGTAAGTTTCATCATTATCATATTTACATTGTTGATGGGCACTGGGCGGGGTGATTTACTCAGGTCAACTAAGATCTCCATGTTAATCAGGTCGTTGAAGATATTTGAAATATTTTTATCAAAGGTTTTCTTTTAGAAACTGATGTAGACCAGTAATACATGTTAATAGGCTCTGCTAAAGTTGTTTACTTACATGTACATGTACATGTAGCATGCACTGTGCCAATATCTAATTTATAGGTGAATGATTCTTTTATTTTTAACTGCAGCACATGACCAACTTTGAGGTATTTTGTTTTGTCAAAGCTGAATGATTAATTTACTACCGGAAGGTCCTGGTAGTAATGATCATTTATTGTAATACATTATCATATAATCTAGGTCAAATCCTCCTTGTTGTTTGCTCTTTGCTTTTCACAAATTCAAACAGACTACATTTGTGTCAGATTTAGCCCACAGCTGGGCTCTGGCTGCATTATGCAGGTAGTCTTTTGCAGGTGTTAGTCTTTTAAGGTCTCTGTGTGTAGTGTGTACAGTACATGTCAAGGCAGCTGGTCATAAGAGACAAAGTTATTTTCCTATTCGTTTCATATTCACAAAGGGGATATTCTTAGATTTCTGATTTTATGTTAGGACACAGCAGGTGTGCATATCAATGTGCATATATCACATGATACATCGATAAATGGCATGAAGCGAGAATCTGTGGATTCATTCCCTGTTTACCTAGCGATGGGACTATGGAAGACTTACACCAAGTTACATGTAGATCTTATCTTTAGTGTTACAACTGGTTAAATAGTAACCGTTATCTGGATTGTTGTCTATGGGAGGATTGTTGCATTTTCTAGGGGAGACTGGACCTGAATTTCAAACTTACATGTAACATGATGTCTTCCACTGTGCCAAGGTAAATTTAGAACGTTAAATGTCTGCTGTTATTTTGAGATTTCCCCTTTCATGTACATGTACATGAAAGAGAGAGATAGAGAAAGAGAGAGAGAGAGGGGGGGGGGGGGGAGAGAGAGAGAGAGACATATTAGAGAGACAGAGACAGAGACAGACAGAGTGAGTGAAAGAGGGTGGGGTGGAGAGAGAGAGAGAGAGAGAGAGAGAGAGTGTCAGAACTCAGAATTAACTTTTGAATAATTTGAATAATTCAAAGCAGCCAATCAAAATGCTTTTGTTTCTTCCTGTCTGATTTTCATTTAGTTCCAGCTATTAACCTTAGTTTTATCTACCGGGTATAGAGATGTCTGGTTTATCATGATGTACATGTAAGTGCACTTGAGACCAAAGAAAAAATCATTAAATGCTGTGGTTTTCTTCAATATAAAAATTACATTGTACTGATCGACTGGTGATTTGAGACATTTTTATATTTTAAATTATGCTGGTAAGTAGTTAATGCAATAGCGGTTTTATTTTCTTCTAAACTACATTATGTACAGGATACATATTGCACATGGTGCAAGATCATGCAGTAGGAAATCAAAATATATTGGAAAGTGTATGAGTGTATACTGTTATTTAACTGATTTCTGTATATATTCTTCAAAATATTTCATTATTTGATTAACTGTATGACTGATTGTACAGACTGGTTTGCTTCAAGCTATATAGCCTGTTCCCCATGACCTATTTGGTTGTTTGCATTCCTGTGATTGTTAGCAATGTATTCATTCTGTTTGATATACATGTACATGTATCTCCATACCTGTATTGTGCTGCAGTATATTACCTTACATGTATGCCCTTGTACTTTGGAATCTCTTTGACAAATACATACATACATAAATGTGAATAACAATCACACACATGCATTTATACTGATGTACATGTACATCTAGTATGGGAACAGTATTAAAGGGACAGGGAAAAATATTTTTAACATTTCGGGGGTTACTTTTCAAGCTTGCCTGCATGAAAATAACACTCTTTATTTTGTTTTGAATTGAACTCTATGCAATTTTGGGTGCTCTTTTATGACTTTCAGGGGCTCTTTTTGGCATTTTGGGGGCTAATTTGCCCCGAGCCCCTGTGTATTTTTCCCCTGTAAAGGGACCATTGCTTCAATTTGATTATGTATCTACATGTATACTTTTAAATCAAAGAGAATTGATATGTCACTTTTAAGAGTTATAGTGATGATATTTGTTCTTCTTTCATTAGAGTCATTGTCCAATCTCAGGATATAAAATAATAATAATAAAGTCATTTTTATATAGCGCATAATAATAAATTCTCTATGCGCTTTACAGCAATCAATAAATTACATGATTAATCTCCAGATTTAATTATGCATGGATTAACATATATTCATATCATATACAATGATAACAAAATCAGATACAATATAAATGATATAAACTTATGAACACAATTATAATAGTTAAATAATTACGATCTTTTATTGTATGTAAGAAAATAACATCATTTGACATAAACTACAGTGTAGCATACAATTACAGACTATTGGATGAACATAAATGTCTTCAGATGTGATTTGAATGAATCGACGGTCGGGGCGTTACGAATATTGAGGGGGAGGTTGTTCCATAGCAAGACTCTAGATAGTGTCTTATTTTCTTTCTACACAGCTAGTATTTAATTCCCAAGAAATATAGGCCAGATATGAACATACTACTTTGGGTTCTGTAAAAAGTTTTATTTTGGATGTTATTTGAACATATTTGCTTTCAATCCAATCTACAAAGCATGACCCTAATACATATATTTGTTTGAATAATATTTTTTAATGATTAGAAAGGACTTCATAATACACTCCACACCTGTGTCAACCAGTGTAAAATTGAAAGAAAAAAAAATTCTCCTTGTAATTATAGATATTTTTATCATACATTGTCAGCGATTTGAAGCCCGCCGTGGCACTAATGTCCTTTGGCAAGACATTGATCTACATTTTCCACACTCAACCCAGGTTATGTAAATGGGTACCTGGCAGGAATTAATTCTTTGAATTTCTAGAGCGCCGTAATGGCAGAACAGCTACAGCCTGGGTAAAAATCTCCAAGTTTGGAACCGCTTAGTGATTGTAATAAGTGCTATATAAAAACTGAGTTTTATTATTATTATATTATTATTATATTTTCAGGGGTATGGAGGCCATACCAGGGACTGCCAAGCTGGTGAAGGACAGTCAGAACCTTGTTGGTATCAGTATCGGTGGAGGGGCGCCACTTTGCCCCTGTCTGTACATCGTACAGGTGTTTGACAACACCCCTGCTGCCAAGAGTAAACTCCTCAACGCTGGAGATGAGATTGTTGGGGTTAATAAGAAGTCTGTCAAGGGAAGGACCAAAGTGGAAGTGGCCAGGATGATTCAAGCTCTCAAGGTATGTATCTGGGACATTGATCTGGGGGTGTTTCACAAAGATCGTAAGTCAAACTTAACTCTAAGTTGGACTTAAATATTATGGAAAGCCATTTGTAGCCTTAAAATAACATATATTCAAAACCAAAAATTCATGTATTTTAGACTTTTCATAAATTTCACATACTGTATCTAGAACATGAAATCTCTTTGATGATAGGAAATATGATGGTTTGAATCAACATTTTATGCTGTTTAAAATAAGTTTTACAAAATATTTTCAAAGATGCTAATGGCTTTCCATAATTTTTAGGTCCAACTTAGAGATAAATTCAACTTAGGATCTTTGTGAAACACCCCCCTGATATCTGGTTCATGTCATGGTTTAAGTCATTAAATATATTGGCCAATATTCTACTTAAATTTCAACCCTTTAGGCTTGTCCTCATCAGCTCGAGTTTGCCAAATAACCTGCTATTTTAACTATCCCAATCATAAATTAGCCAGTTAATTTGCGTCTTCATCAACCAGCAGTTGCAATTAGCAGGATATTTTGGCGAGAAAATATCCCGAGAAGTTTTGGTCTTGTTCCTAAATATTCTGCTATTTGGGAAATTGTGGGCTAATTTGCACCCGTCTGAGCTAGTTTGTGATGAGCGTATCGGTCTGGTGAAGATGCAATTGAGTCAGAAAATAGCGGGTTGTTTGGCAAACTAGAGCTGATGAAGACAGGCCTAAAGATGGGTTTAAGCTATTTTTTCATAATGAGGTTTAACAAAAGAAGTCTCTCAAGACCTAAGCTTTCCTTTCTTAAACATAGTCTTAATAGACCCATGGCCAGGTTTATCTGAAATAGTAGGATAGGGTCGGGATTGGGATTGGGATGCAGATTAGGTTCAGGGTTAGGGGTAGGTATAGTTTGGGCTGGGTTGAAGTTAAAACTTTGGTTAGTGTTTGGATATTGATGACAGAGGAATTTTCATAAAGAGCACGTGTCATACAAAATTCATTAATTAAAAATTTAAAATGCATGTTTGTGAAATTTTAGCTTATAAAGTTTTAAGTTGCCAGGACGATATCAGCATGTCCTAAACCCCTCCTAGCCTTGGACCCTCAAATCCTGCCCAAGAATAAATTATGATCAGATACAGATTCTTCTTAGGTACACTTAAGTATCCTGAAAGATATGTTATACCCACTTTAGCAACTAAACAAACTACAGTCAAACCTGCTTTAGTGACCACCTGTTTACAAAGACCACCTGTCTACAACAAGCGCATTTCTTGTTTCCCTTGAAAATGGTTTCTCATAGAATCATGTACTAAAGGAACCTGTCTACAAAGACCACTTTTTGTGTTTCCTTTGGGCGGTCACTGTAGACAGGTTTGACTGTACATCAAGTCACTCTTTCACTTAGGAAAGTTGATTTATTAGATAAAATAGTTGTGGCACAGGAAGGGTTCTCACTTCCAAGTTTTTATCTTCTTTTATATTGCTAGAGTGAGGTAATAATCAGCTATAACAGCCTCAAAGCAGACACGAAGGAAGGCAAAGGATTGGACATTGCTCTCAAGAAGGCCAAGCATCGTATGGTTGAGAATCTAAGCTCCTCCACTGCGGATGCTCTGGGTCTCAGTAGAGCCATCCTATGTAATGGTAAGTTGTTCAAAATGATGATAAAGTGCCTCAAAAAACTTTAAATCATTGAAAAACGTTCTTGAAATTTCGAATTCCAATCATAAATATCTTGATAATCAGAGGGGCGATCGGCTTGTAAAAGTCATGGGATTCCTGACTGACCTATAGGTTTATAATTATGAATGCAGCATGAGCTGAATCCAAGATTTTGTTAAGAATCTGAGACAAAAGATGCCCAATCCCTTTAAAGAGAACTTATTCTTTTAAAATTCCTTGGCTTCATAAGCCGCAGATAAACAATACCAGCATGAATCAATTTCAACCCAATTACAGAGCATGCACGTTGTGGGAGACATGAAATCCATGTTTTATGTTTATAAACACAACGGCAGTGTTAGTGCATCTTCATCAAGATTTAGCCTATTAATTGGCCTTACATCTGGATGTTTGAGGACCAACACGCAAAGGCTATAATGACTTGGGATAATAGCTCAAACAAGTCTATTTTCTTGACCTTGAGATCCCATTCTATCAATGCTTTCATAATATAATCAGTTTTTATTGAAGGTAATTGATGAGGTTCTTTATCATGAATAAATCTATTCCGTTTAATTTTGTTCTCCTAGATGTTTTGATTAAGAGACTGGATGAGCTGAATAAGACATCACGCCTTTACAAGGGACTCATGGACCACACCAAGAAGCTACTCAAGATCTTCTATGAAATGTCTAGTACTCATAGAGGTAAGCATATAAGCATCCATTAGATATATGTCATGGGGACACATATGTAGGAAAAAAAATGGTGAGACAAAAAAGTAAACTTTTAAAGGGGGTGTAGCATGGCAAATACTGGTTTACGCCATCTATGACTTCTTTTGGACAACTGCACGTAAACGAATGGGATTGATTAACGGTCAGCGCGCGCTAGCGTTTGGGAAACAGACCAAAGTTCTCCTCACGCTTCGGTTTCGTGTATGTTGCACACGTGTGAATACTGCCGATGCCATATCCGTAGTCGTATTATACCCGATCGGCCCCAAGTCACGCAACGGGAAAGACACATACATGTAGTCTCGTCATGCTACACACCCTTTAAAAGTGGGCCATAAAAAAGTTAGTAAATTTAAGGTAGAAAATGCTATAGTAGATATTTGGGTGAAATAAAAGTTTCGTGAAGTACAGTATTGTTTGTGTACCTTGAAATTAAATATTCATTTTCCATTTTCATTTTGGGAATCATGAAAGTTTTACTATTTTTTATAATAATAGAACCAAATATGGGTATTGTAGAATAATTTTGAAGATCTGTTTAATAATAAAAGAGTAATAACTGATTTAAAGATTTCCGTAAAAAGATGCAGGCCTTAAAATAATAGCTCATCAATTTCTGATGTATTTCTTCTGAACAGCGTTTGGTGATATCTTTTGCTTGATTGGTGCAAGAGAGATTCAACCCAAGGCTAGTGATGCCTTCACTAAGTTTGGAGATGCTCATCGGAACATGGAGAAGTTTGGAATCAGATTGCTCCGCACTGTCAAACCAGTAAGGCTACCATGTTTTTTTTTCCTCTAATGTCAGATAATCTTAGATCAATCCATTTCAGTTCCTTATAAACCCACTAAAATAGAATCATGGCAAGTTAAACAAAAAACATGAACTATAGATATCTTTCAGTTTTCGCAATGTGAACAATTAAAATATTAAAGGAGTTGATTTTTCTAAACAAATGGCTGAGGGAGACCAAAAATTAAATCTTTTTTAATGATAGGCTCCTCTGTGGGGCTTCCCCAAAGGATAGATCCAGATTGATAGCAGTGATAACAAACAGTGATTTAATGTTGAGCTCTTTCCTGACATTAATTTCAATTCAGTTCTGTTGAGTTCTGCTCATTGTAAAGTTAGTATTACAGATCTTGTTGCTGTTTCTTGCTTCTTATTTCAATAAATTTTATAATTTGTTGATTTTATCTGTAATAACAGAAAATCCAATGTAATTGTAAAACTCCAACAATATCCAAGTCACGTATGTCAGTGGTCATAAATATTTCATTTCAGCCTCCCCTGAACAGGCTCCATCAGGAGCTAAATATGAGCTTCTTGAGACTGGGAGCAAACTGATTAAAACGGAAGTAAAATTGATATAGATATGTTTAATTGTGATATGGCTATACAAGAACTGAATATTGTTAGTGGTGGTGGTTATTTTACCTGACTGCTAAAAAAGCATAAATGCTTGTTAGTAAGCAACCCAAGGACTGGCGGCTTTAGGTCCTCTCCTAGGGACCTGATAATGAGGATTAATGCCTTACCAAAGGGCACTAGCGCATCGACTTGGTTTTGAACCCGGGTCGCCAGATTATGAGACCACTGGCTGAGACCACTGATCTACCAACTGAGCTAACACGCCTCCTCTATTATATACCAAATAACTAATGTTGTTGACCTGAATTTAATTTTGAGATCTTATCATTTAATGTTATTCCTCTACAGATGCTATCGGACCTGGGTACCTTCTTGACAAAAGCCATTCCAGACACCAAGCTCACCATCAAGAAATACGCAGATACCAAGTTTGAATACCTGGTGAGTATTTCTGTCTCTTGTTATTAAGTATGCTACATCCCCTGTGCCTGGGAGGGGAAAAGCAAACTCAACCAATGTGATTTTCTGGTCCTTCCTTCTTATTAGGAAATTCCTTTTACTTTTTATGAAGAGAGCAATGAATACTTAACATGCTTAGTGTGGTAGTGTGAGGGTTACCTTCATGTGAGACTTCCATTAGACATCCTATCTGAGGGACAGAATGATATTCATAGTTTCCTTAGCCCGTGTCATACTGTAAGTACAGGTGTATGACTTGCTCAAGTTCAGCTGTGTTTTCACTAAAAAGAGATCAAATTTCTTCTCAGGATGCGCACTAGACAAACTTCCAATTGTGTTTTAATAGTATAGTTTGAAAATCTTCATGTTGAAAATTCAATGATTTCATTTTTCCCCTGACAAATTGCAGGGGCTCTGATTAAAGTGATCTCTTAGTGAATCTGTACTATTTCAAAGCCAGCATGAAGTCATACTGCTTGAATTTGGGGGGCATTTCACTAAGCCTTTTTTCAATGACAAAAATCAGTGACAATTCTGCTGATAACCAATCGAAAGCAAGGATTTTGGGAGCTTTTAACACAAACTGTCATTTCTCACTGATGACAAGTTTTGTGAAACGCCCCCCCCCCCCCCCTGATGTTGAATGTGCCCCTTACCCTGCTGTGATACTGAGTTCAATGTGTGTTTGATGCATGTAATATGCAGTAGTACTTTATAGAAGTAATATATATGATTACATTTTCATACTATTTCTGCTCTAATTTTCAGTCATACTGCTTGAAAGTGAAGGAGATGGATGATGAGGAATATGCGTATGCTACATTAGGAGAACCTCTCTACAGAGTGGAGACAGGCAACTATGAGTATAGGTAAGGATAGATTCCATGCTTTGTACCAACGAGAAAACATCGGAGTGCTCAAGTATAGAGTAGAGAAATATCTCTTTTTGATTAATGAAATAATTTGTAAGTTGTCTTGAATTATTGTTATGTTAGGTAATATATGTTTATATGCTTCCCTTATCAAGTTCAATGTAAGTAGCATAAGTTTGAAGGAATGTATTGGTTTGGTTCAGTGAAAATAAGGTAAGATTTGGAGGGAGAACATAACAGTGGCCAAAACATAGGAGATATGTATTTTGCTTGCTTCAAAGAAACCCAGTTAAGGTTTGAAGAGATCTTGATATGCTACAGTTAAATTAACCCGAGGAATGTTCTTGTTTAGTTCATGGAAAGTCTCTTTAGCTTCAGGAGATATTGTAAACCTTTGAATACAATTGATGTTGTTACAAGGCACATTCTTTACACCCCTGCAAGAGTTATTTCAGACTTGGTATTCAACAGGTTAATTTTGTTTTATTGCAAGTAAGTTGAGGCGATATTTATAAAAAAAAAAATATGTAAACGTAAAATGTCAATTTCTTGAAAAGAATTTCACTAGATGATGTCATGTTCATGTTAAAGGCAATCATTGTGATTTGTATCTCTTATATGTATCTCTTTACAGATTGATCTTACGATGTCGTCAAGAAGCAAGGGCTAGGTTTGCCAAATTAAGATCAGATGTAATGGTCAAAATGGAACTACTGGATCAAAAGCATGGTAATTGTCTTTATTATTGTAACTTCGTTTAGATGTTCTTTCTACATGTTTATCTCTCTCCACTCAGATGCAATAAACAACTAACAAGGGAGAAGAAAATTATTGCATGCTTTGATTGACAAATAATACATGTTTGCGAGTGCATTAGTGAATATGCAATGTACGCAGGATAAGTCACAGTAGGATAGTGAACAAGACTTGTTGAGTTCATTGTCCGTCTCATTGTGACTTAACCAAGTGCTGTGGAAATCACTAATGCACGAGCTAAAAACATGTATTATTTGTTTTATAAGATGGGTCTACAATATAAGTATAAAGTCGAGAAATTGACTGTTGTTATCACCAAAATGCTCCCCCTGTGCATATGGTACAAATTAATGCATGCACACATGATCCATTTCAATGCTTTTCATTGGCTAAATTCTTGAACCCATTTTATAATTGAGATTAATAAAGTAGCTAAGTTAATGCCATAATGATATATTTATATGTTGAGAATAGCACTTTCTGATACCGAGAGTTTGAAAATGAAAGTTGATATTTTATATCATAAAAACTGGTTCTAGAATATAGGCAATCTGATTGGTGGTGGTTATTTTACCTGACTGCTAAGAAAGCATAAATGCTTGTAAGTAAGCAACCAGACTGCCGACGGCTTTAGGTCCTCTCCGAGGGACCTGGTAATGAGAATTAATGCCTTATTGGTCAAATGAACTTGACAAGGCTCATTATCACATTTTGACTTAACCTGCATGCAGTGCATATTCACTAATGCACTCGCAGACATGAACTATTTGTGTACTGAGAACTGAATGATTTGAGATTTTGTTGAATGCAGCTAATGCTCACTATTTCTGTTTTTGTTGTTGTTGTTACAGTTCAAGACATCGTATTCCAGCTGCATCGTCTTGTGTCTGCCATGACCCAGTACCTCCAGGATTGCCACCAGCAGATGAAGAACACAGACCTGTTCCCCATCGAGGTCGATCTTCTGAGAACAACCATCAATTACGACAGGTCGGATCAGTTCAACGATGGTTTTGATGATGAGGAGGAGGAGGAAGAGGAAGAAGAAGAGGAGGAGGAGGAGAATAACAGGAGCGGAGGTGGGGGTAGCCTGATGGAGGGGAATCTTATTGATACTTCGTAGGATGGAATGGTTATCAGGATTCATAGAAATGTCCTTTTTATGCCTCCGTTACGAAGTAGCCGGAGGCATTATGTTTTCGGGTTGTCCGTCCGTCCGTACGTCCGTACGTCCGTCCGTCCGTACGTCCCGTTCTCGTGATCGCGTTATCTGAAGAACCGATTGATGGATTCCTGCCAAACTTTAGTCATGTATGTATCTTGCAGAGCCGATGAACTGATTAGATTTTGGGGTCACGAGGTCAAAGGTCAAAGGTCACAGGGCTCATTATGTATGCAAAAACAGCTCGTGATCGCGTTATGTAAAGAACCGATAGATGGATTCCTGCCAAACTTTAGTCATGTATGTATCTTGCAGAGCCGATGAACTGATTAGATTTTGGGGTCACGAGGTCAAAGGTCAAAGGTCACAGGGCTCATTATGTATGCAAAAACAGCTCGTGATCGCGTCATCTCAAGAACCGATTGATGGATTCCTGCCAAACTTTGGTCATGTATGTATCTTGCAGAGCGGATGAACTGATTAGATCTTGGGGTCACGAGATGAAAGGTCAAAGGTCACAGGGCTCATTATGTATGCAAAAACAGCTTGTGATCGCGTTATCTCAAGAACCGATTGATGGATTCCTGCCAAACTTAGGTCATGTATGTTACTTGCAGAGCCGATGAACTGATTAGATTTTGGGGTCATGAGGTCAAGGTCAAAGGTCATGCGGCTCATTATGTATGCAAAAATAGCTTGCGATCGCATTATCATTAGAACAGATTGATGGACTCCTGCCAAACTTAGATCATGTATGTATCTTGCAGAGCCAATGAACTGAGTAGATTCTTGGGTCATGAGGTCAAAGGTCAAAGGTCATGGGCTCATTATGTATGCAAAAATAGCTTGTGAACGCATTCTCATTAGAACTGACAGATGGATTACTATTTAACTCAGGACATCTTGCAGAGCCAATGAACTGAGTAGATTTTAGGGTCATGAGGTCAAAGATCAAAGGGTCATATATGTATATAATGGATTACAATTGAAATTGATTTGAAAAATTTCTTCTGTTTTGGTTTGTAAAATTGCTCCATGACGGAGGCATCATTTTCGACTGCGCGCAGTCGAAGTTCCATCTAGTTCGAAAAGATTCAACGCCTATCATCGTCAATGTATGTCCCTTTTCTCTGTCAAAATATAATCGTAAATTTGAAAGAAAAAAATGAAGCCTTAGCGGCCGTTGTGTATCCAATTAGGCCTGTTTTCATCAGCTCGAGTTTGCCCAATAAACTGCTATTTTCAGACTCTGGATATTATCCCAAAGCTCGAAAATCGCGTCTTTACCAGACCGATACGCTCAGGACAAACTAGCTCGGACGGGCACAAATTAGCCCGCTTTTTCCCAAATAGCGGGATATTTTGGATACAAGACCAAGATTTCTTGGGATATTTTCTCTAATTGCAACTGCGGGCTGATGAAGACGCAAATTAACTGGCTAATTTTCGACCGGGATAGTTAAAATAGCCGGTTACTCAAGCTGATGAAGACAGGCCTCTGGATGCCATTTTGTCAATCAGTTGACCATCCATCGTTTACATTTTTCAGTTTTCATGTTCGTACCTTTATTGCTTTTGATTGGAAGAAAGGTTTAGGCATTCCAAAGTGACACAAGGATTTTTAATTGTGGAACTGGTTGGGAGAGATGTCATCAAAATATTGTTAGTGTTTGGAGCCATAAGAGCATTAAGTCATATACATTTTACACAGAAATAATGCCCTTCTGGCTCCAAACAGATAATTCAACAATTATCAATGTTGAAATAATCAAGATGGATACAACTCTAGAAATTACAATAGTGCCAAGAATTTGTAGATATTTGAACAAAGAGGACACCTCCCATTGAAACCTAGAGCTTTGCAAGATGAGTTGTAAGCATGTACATGTATGTCATTTTGTTTTATATTTTGCGCATCTTGACTTATAGATGTTGCCTAAGGGAGCTTAGATTGCCAGGCTCTGAGTTACGGCAATATCAAGTTCTTGCAATAGAAGTTTGATTTGAGAAAAAAATTGGCTAAAACTTGTTTTGGCTTAATGGCTCATCTGCATTAGATGTTATGATTTAACCATATCTCTTTTTTTTTGTCAAGTGAGCTTCACAATTCTTAAACAGTCCTAAACACATTTCACATTGACAAGAATTATTCAAAAAGAAGAAAATTATAGTATGCAGTGCAAAGAGGAAATTAATCAGTACTTGTTATGTAGCTTTGTTTTTGCAATTTATCATTTTTAAATGTTGCAAATGCGCAGTATTCTTTAATGATATGATGATTTTTATGTTTTGTGCAATACTTTTAATAAACTTGAATTCATTTTTTGTTTTTTTTTATTGACAGTAGGATAAGTATTTATTATTTAATGTTTAGGGTTTTAGAATAGTTTGCAAGTAATCAAGTATAAATTGTGGATGTAGGTGATTTAATATTAAGAACAACCGAGTCAAGTTCCAACTTATGTATTCATCTGGAAGTTATTTGCCAAATTAAATTATAATCATTCCAAATATGTCATTGTGTACAGGAGGTACTCATACCAATAACTGCAATTGATATGTCGTGATCTGGAATTTCACATGTTATAATGTTTTCTATTGATGAATGACAACATTACATAAGGAGACATCAACTTTCAATTATTGAATGCAGGATGAGTCAAATATATATCAATTTTCCATTATGAATGGGTTTTAGAAATTATTTGAATAAACTGTTAATAAAGACAACAATTATAGCAGTAACATTTACATAACTATTCATACTTATATTTCTAAGTGCTGCACTATTATCACCCCAGCATTAGCCATTCTTGTACGTAGTACACATACATTTATGTTGATAGTTAATAGGATTAAACCTTTTCTTTATGTTTAACCATTTTTTTAGTTATCATTTCTTTCCTTTTTTTGCTACATTATAACTTTAATCCAAGTTTCGCATGTAATTTATTTGTATTTTTTTGTCTTGTATAAATTTAGTGAGAGAAACAATTTTCTTTTATAAAAACCATACTTTTCCATTATTACATTCCATTGGATGCTTCATGTATTCATGTTGTGTTTCCCATTACTGTATAACATGCTCTGTTATCTGCATTGCAAATCTTCGGTACTATAGTCCAATACCAGAATGGTTCTAATTATTGAATTCAATGTCATAAAAAAGATCAATGAGTGTTGGTCGTAGGAGCAGTATTCTTAACTATCTGTATTATAGAGAAAAAGTACTAAATTTGTCATTTGTACTATAAACTGACTCTTTGTTTTCATGATCGAATATGCAAAGGTTAACCATACATCCTTGCTATTCAAGGTTTCTACTTCTTTTGTTTAACTTCAGTTTTAAAAGTGTATTATTCAGTGTATAATTCAGCATAACAAAAAAAAAGCATGCAGGACAACGTCTTGGCACTAGTTATATACTGACAAACTTTTGTGTCCAGGAGAGATTTCTAAAAATATCTGGAATCTATTTTTTTTTTTCTTCTTGCAGTAGAACTCGGTAGTTAGACAGTACCAGTACATATATATACATTTCATTTACTGGAGTCGCTTCTGAAATACGAAATGAATGTAATGATGTCTACTGACTGAAAGTTGCAGTTAAATGAACAGAAGTATAATCTTTTATTGCTCCTTGAAAAGAAGTCTAGTTTACAAAAGGGAACATAAACACCTCTATCAACAATGATGTCATTTATCTACCTTTCAGTTTCTTCTCTGAGCTCGGAGGTCGGTTGCAACAGTTCTCCACATATCTCTGTTCCCTCTGCCATTCTTGTATACTCTTTCAGTGTACTTCCACTCCAAGTTCTAATGTTCCCCTCTCGGTTACTTTCTGTTTCACGATCTGTATTTGACCATTAATGAATTAATGTGGTCATGTCATCGTTTTGTTGGAGTTATAAGCAGGCATTCAACCATGAAAACATGTCCACTTTAAGACATGAACATTTGTTTTGATATACTGGCATAGACTAATCAGTTTGGATTGAGATTATTACACTGTACAAAAGGAATACATTTCCCTATTCTTTATAATCTACCTTTAAGGAAAAGACCAATACCTATTCAGGCTGAAAGGTGCTGGAAGTTACTAACATATTTTGTCCACTGTGATGCTATTTCCACAGTCGTGTCCGCTCATTATATAGATATACTCGTAATGTACATAGTAGGATGAGAATAAAACTATTTATTTCAGGTGTACTAAATGAACATCTGTATTCTTTTGTGCTTTGTCTGTCTGAGCGTTTTACATGTATCTAACCTTTAAATTGGATCTCTCTATGAATATTGCATATAAGATGCCTCCACTTACAAGGAATAAGCATATTTCAGATTGTATTGTCCATAGCCTTCAACAGTTTGGTTTAATGTTAACCATCTATCGTCAAAACTTCAAATTTGGATCAAAGTCGAAGAGGAATAGATATTATGTTCCTTTTTGTTCTGCCCCCAATCATCTCATTCTCTGAACTTGCCTTTCTATCATTCACCCCACCACATGTGTGCCATTAACATATAAATTCCTAGTGGAAATGAAACTACAATGTGAGTCTAAAAAAAGTTTACACCTAGAAAAATTGCTAATTATTTAAAAAATCATTGATGAACTTTAAGTTGTTATATGTCTTATGAAAGAGTGTTTTATCCCAAATCATTTGGTATCATTTTTGTGTGGTATGTGTTCACGCTTGGATGAACAGAAGACATTGTTTGCGACAGTGCAGACATCGACTTGCGCCAAAGTTGCCTTTGTGATGTTTGAACAAAACAATTGGGATTTGGGTATTAATTCGGTCTTTGCAGATCCAAATAACATCCCTAACAAAATTAATCATGCCACACATATCAAATATCGAATATTCAATTTCAATGAACATTTGTGCGCGCGTGTGTGGGTGTGTGGGACTTTGCCCTTTGCAAAAAACATATGCCATGCATTTCATTTGATACATTCAATCCAGTCTCTCACTCTGCCAATCCCAACATAATACATACTGTAGGCATCACTTTGGCGCAAGTAGATTTTTGCACTGTCGCAAACAATGCCACCTGTTCACCCAAGCGTGAACACATACCACACAAAAATGGTACTAAATGATTTGGGATAAAAACTCTTTCATAAGATGTATAATAATTTATTGTTCATAGATGTTTTTAAAAATAATTAGCAATTTTCTAGGTGTAAACTTTTGTTTTGACTCACACGGTAAAGGCTATCAAGTTAATAAACCGGCCGACTAATATACAGTGCGTCCCAGAAAAACGAAACCGAGAAGTATCGATGTTCTATCATAACTTAATCACAACTATAATTAATGAATGATACATATTTGGAAAGCTTAGAGTCTCCTCTTTCATGTGATGCTACTCAGATAATGCATATTTCACGCATGAGTGATTAAAAGCAATTTGAAGGAAGGAAACCAAAAAGACATTTGGCGGGCGGTATCTGAATTTCGAAGAAAAATTCACATTTATAGAAAGTTGAGTTTCTGCCCTTTCATAATTATGACACCTCAATCAGGAAAAAATGAGCGAGGAATGACAAAGTTCTGTTTGCTTAAAGTAGTGCTTGCATTTCCATAATTGTATTAAACGAATTCGTTTTCACTAGCTGCCTGCCGTATCAATAAACGAAATTTAGAAAAGACTTAACTCCGTTTCGTTGACAATCAGCCGTAGACGAGGGTCTTCATGTATGGCTGATTGTCAACGAAACGGAGTTAAGTCTTTTGTCAAATCTGCTTTTTTGCTACGGCAGGCACCCAGTGAAAACGAATTCGTTTGTTAAAGTTATGAAAATGTAAGGGCTACTTTAAACAAACAGAACTTTGTTATTCCTGGCTCATTTTTCTTGATTGGGGTATCATATGAAAGAGCAGAAAATGAACTTTCTAGAAATATGAATTTTTCTTTGAAATTCAGATACCGCCCGCCAAATTACTTTTTGGTTTCCTTCCTTCAAATTGCTTTTAATCAATCATGCGTAAAATATATACATCACGTGAGTAGCATTAACTGAAAGAGGAGACTCTAAGCTTTCCAAATAAGTATCATTCATTAATTATGGTTGTGATTAAGTTATGATAAAACATCGATACTTCTCGGTTTCGTTTTTTCTGGGACGCACTGTATAACAATTTTATTCATACTTTTTAAACAAACTTGACAGCTTGAAAGCTTGCCCAATGATTGCCCGACATGGATTCCTAGTATTGTATAAATAACATGTCACTAGGTCCCCAGTAAAAACATCCATACATTTAATATTACCCCATTCACAGTGGTTTTGAAATTTGTAGCGGCGTTGTAGCGGAGCGGCGACACCGCCATAACACCGCTACAAATGCATTCACAGTAGAAAAGTTATCCCGCTGCAGCAGCGGGATAAATATCATGTACCCATTCACGCTGCAGCGGGTGATTTTTATTACCTCCGTAACAAACACGTGTATGCATGGCTCATGACCCGCGAGTGACCCCGATATGACCGGAAATACTTCAGCGCGGGGTTTTCGATTGCTTGAAATTGCGCGCGCTAGCTGTACTTTACACACTCTTCCTCATGTAGCTAGCTTTTTGTATCCTCGATCATATTACTTTTTAAAAAACTAGCATTTTTATTGCTTCCAGTCAGAATATTTTAATTTTTTGAAGTGTGAAATATTTTTATTTGGATAATTATAATATCTACATAATAATAAAATAAATTTGAATCCACTGGTTACTTTATTTCTATTTCACTTTATGTTCCCCATTGCTGGAGAAAAGAGGTCAGTGATAGGTAAGTAAACAAATCACACGTGTTTGTCGCGGTGTTATAGCGGAGAGCCTTCACACTGAGTAAACACCGCGACAGCAGCGGGACTGTCCCGCTGCTGTAGCTAGGCGTGCCTAGCGATAGTTTGTGTCGGCGTTATCGCTAGGCGGTGTTATCCCGCGATAGTTTATAACGGGTCCGAGCCTTCACACTGAAGACAACACCGCGACAGCAGCGGGACAGTCCCGCTGCTGTCGCGGTGTTTGAGGCCACTGTGAATGGGGTATTAGTTAGTAAACCGGTCTATTGTCAACCCGGCCTGAGTAGCCAGCTCAAATCCGTAGTTAAAGCCCCTCTAAAATGTTGGGAGCCCCACAAATTTGATGGCCAAAAATTCACTTAAGTTGTTTCATAATATAAAAATGGATGTCATTTAAAATACAAAATTCATGTTTACTGCGAGAACCTAAATTTTGTATTCTTTTATCAATATTCGACTTTAAACACATTATTTTGGGGGAAATCTTTCCAGAAGTGTATCTTAAATGACGTCCTCTTTCACATTATGATACAATTTAAATGAAAATTTGCCATCAAATTTTTGGCGAATTTGGGGCAAAGCAACAAGATATAATTATATTAAAAACCAAAAAAAATGATCAATCTAGAATCACCGATTGTAGACTATATTGGGTTTCGCAATAACGAGATCCTAGTGTAACAGAATTATGTGAGAGAGTGAAGCGACTGAGTTTTAGCAAAAGATCTCATTGTAAACCCATACAAAATTGTATTTCTGATGCAATTTACCTAACGTATTGGGAGCGCATATAATCCTTATTATCTTAATAATCTTGTCTTCCCTTTCTCCCCTTTCCTTTCTTTTTTTTTCTTCGTGTTTTGCACCTGTAGTTTTTTTGCGGATTTTGTTCATCTCATCTAAAGGTCGCCAGGGCACGTACCACCTCTGCCCCCCGCAGTCACTGCCGCCACTGTCTTTCATGCTTTTGGCAGTTTATAAGGGACAAAACCTACACAATCATATTGTGAGGTCATCGCGTGCATTCACTTCAACCTATAGGAAAAGCCCTCTCACACATTTACGCGCATTGACCTACGTAATAATGTATACTCATCACCAATGCGTTCGAGTAGAAACTTTTGACCAATCAGGCACGCGTTACTAAAATCCTACTCCAAAATCATACGTAACAATGAAATGCGCAAGTTTTGTGTTTACATTAGTAACGCATTACCTACAAGAGATTCATTCTTTATGAATTCCCCTTGCATTAAAGACGTTTGCTCTGCTCCTGTCTTTATATCTCAAAGAGAAATGGCTCGCCGATCTTCTCGTAAGCGACGATTTTTCGCCCGACTTCGAAAGAGAATGGGAAAGAGTATGAGGAGACTGTGTTGTCTCTTGTCAGGTAGGAATATTTTCCTAAAGCTCCCCCAATGGTCATATAACCTTATTAAACACATTTACATTTTAACAGTGTCTTAATGTAAATCAGATTGATTAATTCTGTAGTTACCAAACTCCAAAGCATCATCGAGCACGACCCGAAAATAGGGTGGTACTCTTTTGACCACCATTCACTGTTCATCTTTGTTCTATCATTATTTTTCTATAGCAACTTTGAAAATTACGATTTTATTTTTTGAATGGTATTTATTTGATTACAGCCACCGAGGATGACAGTACTGCCAACCGAAGTAATGTTTTGACAGCAGAAGCCCTCAAAATGGTAAGAATTCTATTAAAACCCAATTCTTCAATATTCGTAAAAGTTCTATTCAACCATGACAATCATAGTTGGAATTAAATCATTCTTTTGCTCTCACGCGCCTTTCGTTCTCCTGCTTTAATTAGATTTTTATTTTAATCGTCTCTCTCCGAATATACAATATTCTCTCTCCGGATTGGTTTGTCCGCCTCTCTGTATGCAATTTTAAAGCTATTACACAATATTCAGCTCTCATCTCATACAATTCCTTTTCTTTGTTCAAACACAGTTCCACTCTACTACATGTAATATCAACGATACATTCAGTGACTCGACATCATTGTGGAGTTCGGAAGAGGGCTTCCCAAGCATCACGTATTACCCAATCATCGCTTCAAAGCAAAACGACAGCGATAACAATGACGTCGACGATGATAACGCATCCGACTGCTGTCAACTCCATAACGAAGTCTTGATCGAGATTCATCATGAAGATGATAACGATTCATTGTTATCTGACACTACTTCTAGTTTGATCAGATTCATGGACGAAATGGACAATGATAGTTTTACAGACGTGTCCAGCATTACAACCGACAATGAAGACAATAACGACACGTTTACGACAGTCACCGATTTGACATACCACACCCATGATCTTTTCGATGACGACAGCAGTGACGTCATACTTGATCTCTCCCTCACCAAAGATGAATACGAACTTATCAATGGTAGAGACCAAACAATAGAAAGTGATTTTATCATTGCAACAACTTTTCTAGATGAAATCATTTCTGAGGTCGCCTTCAAACTGGATTCTAACAATTGAACCTCCGATATATTTTTGTTTAAAAAATGACAAATACTCAATTATATCCTTGTAAATAAATCTGGATATGCTATACTCAAATTGAAACTACCTTTGTGTTGTTGTTGTTGTGTGTGTGTATGTGTGAAAACTTGTGAAATAATAAGAGTAGAAAACCATTCAAACTGAACTAAAGTATACTGTATATAATTGTGTATGAATCTAGAGAGACGAAGAAACAATGCTTGACAGTCTGGTTGTGTGGATGTGGAGAATATTTGGAAGGGTTTTGTTGGAGTTCAATAACATAAAAGTACTAAAAAGTGTTAAGGGTAAAAGGAAAACGCCAAGCAAAGGGCAGGATGGGACACATTTCTTGGGGAATAACATACTTAGAGGGGTACTTGAAGGGATGAGATAGACCAACAAGGCGGGGGATGGTTTCTGACTGGATAGGTGACACAACAAGGCAATGAAGAGGAAGGCTGGGACATACAGACAGAGCGGGATTGAGAAAGCACTATCAAGATGGCTTGCCCTTGGGCAGAACAGAGAGAGAGAGACAGAGAGAGACAGAGAGAGACAGAGAAATCAACTAGTGACAATTTTCATTTAGTTCATTTCAAATACTCTGTAGTGTTAAGAGAGAAGGGCATTTGGTCCTTTTTTCTCTCTTATTTGAAATGCGTTTGCAAAACTCGTCCCCATCCCGCGCTCCACGCAATTAAGAGTCTGGAGAGGCCTTATGTGGTTCTTGCTAGAAAGTAATACCTGGTGGGGGGGGGGGGGGACATGCGGGAAATCTTTCAGGGGGCTCTTACGAACTCTCCCTCCCCTAGGACCTGGAGAAATGAATGTCGCCCCCCCCCCCCCTTTAGAAAATCCTGGACATGCCCCTGCTTTAACCTCCTTATTTCCCCATCTCGTCAACCTCTTGAAGAGTATGCCTTGGGTAATCGAACTCGGTAATGCACTTTCCTATTCCTTACATCACCTGCTTTATATGGCATGGACTACCTGAAGATGGTGAATAAAACATGAGGCTAAAAAGGGAGGATATTAGACTGAACTCCTAAGCGATCTAGACTTTGTGTTTAGAGAGAAGGAGAGAAGGAGAAGAAGAAAAAGAAGAAGAAAAAGAAGGGGGAAGGAAAAGAAGAAACAGGAAAAGAAAAAGAAGAAGAAGAAGAAGAAGAAGAAAAAGAAGAAGAAGAAAAAGATGAAGAAGAAAAAGATGAAGAAAAAGGAGGAGGAGGAGGAGGAGGAAAGTACGAAGCTCGAATTATTCATGACTGAAAGCCAGAGGAAGCTGGACAAACATAATTTGCATGTGCATTAGTCATGAGAGAATAGACTATTTCACAAATAGGCATAATTATACTCGAATTTCACACATGTGTCTATCACAATCATCGTAAATAATGCTCACGTCGTTGTCGGAGGCTTGTCCGACAAAGCAATAACTAGTTTATACAACTATTAACTACTTATGGAAATACAAGGGGTAAATATAGTTTACTTAGCTCGTGAACTGGGCTTTCGATGGCTTTCGGAAGCGATTAGCATCAATAACTTTGAATACATAGTTGTGGACTGGTCTACTCATATAAGAAATTCCAGTATGCACAGGCTCTCCCGACATATGACCATTGAATAGAGGATGCAGTATATTTAATTAAGTTATACCACATTCACACCTACGAGACGGATACAAAACAGTCCTCAGGGGCCTGTTTCATAAAAATTGTTATCAATTAAAAATTCTAAAATGCTATGACAAAGTTGCTCTCAACCAATCAAATGCCACGATTTCAGTAGCTTATAACAAATATTATAACTTGTCATTGATATCAGGTTTTATGAAACAGGGCCTATAGACCGAACAAAAAGTTACAAAGAGTAAGTTTTGAATCAGAGTAGTCGGTTTGGCGGTGTTAAATACTGAGGTATAACAAACCAGGGACTTTTAAATGGTTGACAAAATATTGTAGACAATTTACGTGTCCCTGAATTTACAATGATACTGGTTAATTCACTTTTTTTTTTAAATATCGGAGCAGTCATCAAAGGTTCTGAATAAATCTAAACTCAAATTTTGAGTTGATTGGAATGAATTTTCCTGGCATTGTCATCCACTGTAAGTGGAGACTCTTTAATAGCCATAATTCTACGCAGAATAAAAGGTCAAAAAGTATAAACAGGCATAATCGGGACATACACCGACATGTTTCTTTTTCACTTACGATCTCATCATACTCTATAGCCCTTTTTTCTTGTAGCATTTACTTTGTAGTTTTCGGTATTGGTTCATGAAAGTATAATTTTGAAGTTATTGCACTCTTCAAAGTTGCACATATTTTAGGATTCAATATAATCAATTTTGTTTTTATCGTAGCATTTATTTGCGGCATGTTTTTCCAAAGACGAACAAACAAAGGGGGATTAATTTTTTACTTTCGAAGATTATAGTATTACAATAAGAGAAAAAATACATTTTTGTGGGGGTGGACGTAAGTCAAATTAATGTGCCAATTGTCCCCTGCTGCCCCCGTAACGGCCCCCTGTATTTACCAGGCCATGCCATGATTCTAAGTCGGTATACCCCGGGGGTTAGATACTGATGATGTGACTGGTAATTGCAGACATGATGATGGATGCACTATACTACGTACGGCTCATCTACGCGAGTACGTAAGGCTGGCTGTCAGGCCTAAAGACCTACCCGTAAACGATTGCGAGGACTGTTTTTAGGTTTGGGTTCAATAGCGATTATCATCAGATGGGCGTAAACATGCATAATTAATTCACAACGTTAATAAGCAATAAACCGATGTTGACTCTCCTTTAATTGATGATGCCGATTATGATGAGTTCAGGATACAAAGCATCGATGAAAATTGCGATAACATGGTCAGATAGAAGAGAGCGAAAGAGAGAGAGAGAGAGAGAGAGAGAGAGAGAGAGATGAAGAGAGAGAAATTGAAAGGGAGAGAAACTCTTTAAAATTTAACCCGAGTATTTTGAAAGCGTACTCGATATCTTTTCTATATTTCCCTTTGTATATATCCACATCGTTGAAACTATTTAGCAAAATGTCGACCAAAATAGTTATGTAAATGATGCAAGATTAAAAACCCTGAAGGTGTGTGGCATGTATTTTACGCGCCAAAATCATGAATTTTTCATAGACTGAAGAGCAAAAGAGCTTAGCGTCATAATATTTCCTCACTGAATTTGATCAAACTAATCGTATATTGCATTACTAATCTAAACGGCTTATCAATAATTTACAAGATTGGCGGAAATGATAAATGTGTCAAATTCAATTTAAGATGGCAAAATAATACTCAAATGTCAATTTTGAAGGCATCGGTAGAAATGAGAATTATACAGATTATGACTGGATTACTGGAGCTGAACCGACTCGGCGAGGAGGCTCTATTCTGGAATAAACTTTTCGAGGGGGTGGCGAAAGCTTCTATTCCAAAAAAGTCAGCTTTTTCTTCTCATTTATTTGAAGGGGGAGCAAGAGCCAGACAACGCAACATTCAAGGGAACATAACAACCAAACGAGGAAGATCAAACTTTGTATGCTACCGACGAAACATTGATGAAGTACACATTGACAAGGTACACGATTTGAATTGTACTAATATCACCAGTCCTATATTTTGTGATTCGGTAGGCCCTACTGAAATTGGTAATTCGCACAATTAATGCTATACCTGCGTTATGATCAAACATAAAGAATCGCAAGACTATTAATGCAGTGCTTTAAATCTAGTTGTACATGTAAGGAAGCGGGGCGACCGAGCAAGCGTAGGGGGAAGCGGAGGATGACCGAAAGCGTTTACATCGCTGCCACATTTTTATTGGAAAATTAACAATGCTTATTTTTTTTTTGGGGGGGGGGATATATTTTCTCCTATATTTACTCCTATATTTACATCCTCTTATAACCCGTGCTTATTTCGCCTTTTTTAAAAGAGTAACATTACATGATAGAGACAGCTCATGTCGCCGCTGAATGTCCCAATGGAAACATGATCCATAGTAATTAGTTGCCGACAATATCGCGATGGGATGGAGACAAATCTTGAGGGATAGAGAGAGACACGCCCCTCTTTCTCTCCCACGTACGCAGATCTTCGAAAAAGATTGAAGACATCAATATTTCCAATTAAAATGTTCGCTCTGGAAAGACAAGTATCGTCCTTTCCATTTTTCAAAGTGTATCTTAGTATGATGGCAACCAGCTATCAAGACTGATGACAGGAAATAATCCGCGGGAATTCTAATTTATGGAGAAGAGAGCGCCATGATCGCACTGATATTGCTGAAATCAATCAGAATCTGTGAGAGTGAATATCTCAAACAAGAATCAATAAACAATCTTCGTGTCTAGCGGTTGTGTCGCCATCCATGGTACCCTCTGATTTGAAACACGACTATGCCATTACATTGATCATCTCGGTTATTATATATCCAATGGGCAACTGAAAACGGCAACAGCGGTGGATATTTCTTCAGAGATGAGACCCATTGTAAATAATAATAAATATAACACATCGTCAGTTCCCTGAAAAAGGGTCGTTTGAGTTCATTTCTTGGCCATCACGAACTGTTCACTACTTTCGACACTTTTCTTTCAATAGCAAATCGAGTACAAGCTTATTAGACCCAAATGTCAAGCCATAGAAGCTTCATTTCGTGACCTACCGAAACAATATCCATGACAACAGTTATTCGTCCTGATTAATCATTAAGGGTTATGAGATATTTTGATTAAAGACGTTTTGAAGAGTAAATCGTGCCCTTTTTAAAGACTTTTGTTTAACCAATTGTAGGCCAATATAGGGAAATTTTTATTTCTATTACAATGCAATATCTGTATGCCTCTTACAATCCCCTTTAAAAGTGGGTTTTCACCGTGGTTATAATAAACACATACTTTCCAGTGCAAATTAAGAGAGGCCGGAAATATTGACAAGAACTAGTTGATCTATAAAACAATACGACAATAAATAAATTTACCC